GATTGCTTCCAGATAATAATTGTTTCAACTCTCCTAGACCAGTGTTTCAATTTATCTCAGCAAGAGGAAAGTTGATACAAAGTCACTAGTTGTCTTTAAGTCAACTTTTAATGGGTAAAAAAGAAATAGTAGCAGTTTTTATCCTAAACATTTATTAGTTAGATAAACAAGGTTTCATTTAGTATAACACAAGATCATCTCTATCGCTTAATTAAAAAGTTATGGGTCTCAATATAAAAAATGGTTCAATTCTCCTCGGTCTCCCCTACATATTATACTGTATTATACTTGTATTATATCACATACAGGTATATACTTGTATATAAATTCTACGAATCCTACGTAAAATTATAATATTCATAAAAATATTATAATATGAAATTTTGTCAGTTTTCATGTCTAATGCTCATATTTAAACCGTAAATTTTGAACCTTTAGTACACCGATATCTTACACAGATACACTTATATTCGTACACTGATGCTATGTAATTAACGCAAAATATATATGATAGGCATATATTACCTATATTATGTTATAAAATTTTACCATTATAAAATTAATTTTAATTACTTAAGAGTTTTTTATACAACATAGAATGGCAAACAAGCTGACGGCCCACCTGATGGAAAGTGGTAACCGTCGCCTATAGACATACTACTATACTATTTCGAGTATACTGTTTGTATAGAGTATACTGTTTCGCCCATGATACCCCCCATGCGTTGCCATTCCTGAGAACTCAGGTGTTATTCCTCTGTACCCTGTAAATTCACGCCATATCCCACCCTTCAAACCGAAACACAGCCATGCGAACACAACTGCTTCACAGTAGAAACACGAATGGGACAGAGGTACCCAAGCAATCGACTTTTGTACAAAGTCTCCCTCTGCTTAAGAGTATTTTAAATTTCTTAAATACCAATTCTAATATTATTATATTCGTGGCTAATGCTAAATTCACCCAAACAATGTTCGATTCCAATCTGTCTGAAGCATGCCTTCAATTTCAAATTGTTGTCCTGGCCCAGATAGCATGCATACCGGATTGCAAATTCACTTAGGTATTGCATACTTATATAACTAATCATATCTAATAATACTGCGACAAATTTGTAGCTGTGAATTTATTTTACAAGAGCAATTTACACAATAAATTACACATATTAGTAACATGGACAAATTTAAATTATTTTATACTAGCGACCCGCCCCGGCTTCGCACGGGTGCAATGCCGCACCGCATCTTCATTTTAAATCTGTAATATCTTCAGAAATAATCATTTAAATTACATGCTGTAAAGGGCCATATTAATCTATATTAAATGGACAATATAATTAAGGTACCTAATTGGATAAAAATTAATGCTGTATTGCTTAAAATCACTTCGTAAATAAGCCATTTTTCCCGTAAAATGTAAAGGATAAAAAATGGTTATTGTGGGTTATCCTTAAGAGATAGACATATACTATCGCAGACTTTGTTGTTGACCTTTTTAAGATGTACAATACTGTAGTACATTATTTTGATTTATCTCGTGTATATATAGTGTATAATTGTTTGTATTTATAATTTTACAATTATTTTAAATACACTCTTAGGACTTAACGCAATGAAAATTTTTTACAAGTAAAATAGTACCTACATACCTGCTTTTTTATTGCCGACGTTTCCCGTCCCGATAGTGTGTTTAAAATGTGTCGCAATAAGTATTTATAATATGTGTAAACAACGCGAAAGATTAAAATTAAATTTACTATTATTTTGAAAAAAAAAAAAAGAAAGAGAATTCACCACGTGGTCGTAATCAACTTTAACGTAAAAACAGTACTAACCACTACAATCTCTGTTGATAAATCCTATGTTGTGAAAAATTTTGATAGTGAGTTAATTCCACAACGTAATCATTCACGAGAGAAATTTTAGCCAATAACATAAATTATTCTTATACAGACTAGGTAGTTAATTTATTATTTTGACATAAAATAACCTTATGGCATCAATTGTTATCTGTCAACAGGGAACTATGCAACGGGAAATATGTATTTAGACGTTATCTTAAACAAAGTAGACTGTTAGGTCTCTATTTCATTTATTTTCTTATTCTACTCTTTAAACAACTTATTCAAAACAAAATAAACAATAAAAAAATAAAGAGAAAAGTAATTTCTACTTAAAAAAAAATTGCTTATATAATCACTTGTCTTTTTAAATATAGAATCCTCGATATTCGAATACGACTTATACTTTGCCTGTTTTTATTATAAAGTTTTACAAAATTATATTTGGTCAAAATCAAATAACATATTTTCCCATTGCGGCGTATTACTGAATCTGTAAGAGATCTTCTGACCCGAGCGATCCATAATCTTAATCGCCCGGGAATAATTAAAGAGATGGAGCAGCGGTGTGGGCCGTGTATAGCTGTACAAGCTTGTTCCTTGTGCTTTCGAAACTAATGGCCGTCGCCACTAACTGGACTTTAGGCGGGAAAGACCATGCACTTAGTTAATTGAACTAAATGACGAAAATGAATTATTGAATATTATTTTTTATTAAATTATCCTTTAAACACTTTAACAGTGCTTGTTTAAGTACATTATCATATTTTAATATTGTAATTATCATCATAATAATTCTTGTTTCTGTCGCCTTGCACGCGCGCCTGTAACCCTTTGTAATGGGAATGCAAATAAGGTTAATTGGGTCAAGTAAATAACCGAACAAAATAGACAAACGTTGTGTTTTATGCGACAACAAAAGCTGGTTCTGTAACTGAAATCTGAATACATTTCAATTGGCTTTGGAAAAAATAAACCAATTAAATTGTTGAATGGTAAAATTTATTATTATGTACGAGTAAATGTTAGTTTATTTAAACATTTTAGATAAATAGAAAATGCCTATCATAGATAGATAGATAGATACTCTTTATTATTGTTTCCTCCAAAAGATTACAATAGTAAACTTATTATAAATATAAATAATTACAAGAAATAATCACAATGAGAAAACAATGGACGACCTTATCGCTAAGAGTGATCTCTTCCAGGCAACCTTTGGATCATCTGTGTAAGTAATCACTTAAATATAATAACGACTTAGGTAATTCGATTTTTATTACTGCAAGATAGCAGCAATTATTTTCAACTGTCTTCAAAGATGCAAGTTCTCAATTCCATTTAATTTTTTTTTTATGGTTACCTCATAACTCGGCCTTTTATAAACCGATTTGGAAAACATTTTTTTTTTTTATCTTAAATAATATACTTGCAAATTGGTCCTATAAAAAATTTATCAAAATTGATTTTGTAGTTTAGTTTTTATTCAAAGTAATTAGTTTTGCCGCGATTGAAATCTGTTTTTTTTGACAAAATGTCATAACAAATCTTCATAATAATCCAAAAAAATGCTTAAGAGTTGCCGGATACGCATTCATATAGCTGCATATATCTAAGGTACAGAAGGTAGATTGTGATAAATACTTTCTTCTTAGTCATCGGATCGTATATTCTTTGCCGTCGGAATCCCGAACGACTTCAAACGAGTTCCCCGCGGCTCCGACAATAGGCGGATGAGGAACACCGGGGGCTTTTAGCTGGTAAGAATCCGGCAGTACCTACATATCTCCCCCGACGTGTATGGGTCTACAAAAACATTTCCCCTTTGACAAAAAAAGTACCTTCTAATTTCTTCTAAATTGATTTTTTAAATGACTTCTAAATTAAGTGTTTTTTAATTATTCATGATGATGTTTTATGTCTATAAACGAAGGGAGAAGGGAGGGGGATTATTAGTAACAAGGAGTTCATTACTTACTAGTATAGCTAATAAGGGCGACCTCCACGCGGTCCCCTCTGCAAACCACCATGGTGATAATTGCTATTGAAGTTAGTACAATGGGCCGACGGACCTGACATCATACGCATCTATTGTCACTCATTAGTACCTTGCTAATGTACCTCGCTATTACAGTTGTCATAAACTTATTGTACTTTTTTAACAATCGTCAGGTCTGAGTGCAAGCGATACAGGAAGTAAGGCATTATACTTCCCGTATCGCTTGCACTCACAGGATCATTTGATAAAAGAGAAGTAAAGAATGATTCATTACTCACTCATTCATTTAAATCACTTAATTTTGCAACCAATTGTTACTTTCCTGTTTAAACAATTGTTGCAACTTTTAAATCCGTTTAGCTAATCATTGATTAGTGTAACGTTAATAAACTCGGATCTTAATTGAAATAAATGTCCCGTCCTCGCTTTTTTTACGGGCAACACAGAGCAAGTTAATCAGTACAATTTTTTTTTTTTAGAAAAAGATTGCCAGATATTATTTTTAGTATATGTCTTTAAGACTATTTATAATATAAAAATGAATAGCTGAACAAACACAGCTCGAAAACAGCTGAACCGATTTAGCTAATTATTTTTTAGAATATTCTTTGAGGTACGAAGACGGTTCTTACAAAGAGATAATTTTGAAAAATTTAATAACAATACTTTTTTATACTCCCTTACTTTCGTAATAATACTTAAAAGTCAATTTGAACTTTAATACTTTACAATAATGTTCAAGTGCTAGTGGTGAGGTTCTGGGAAGGCAAAACAATTGAGTAACGTGGCACGACGTGTTTTATAAGTTTTTTTTTTTAAATAATGTTATTGTTGACTTATGAACTTTCTTTTTTTATCTTACTAGCTGCCCCGGCGTCCCAAATAGCAAAATAAGTATTAAAACAACTAAAAGATTAAAAGATCGTCTGTTAAGTGGTACGAAATTCGCGGGGTTATAAATATTTTTTAGTCCTAAAGTTTTGTGTTCCATTTATTCTATTCCGAAATCTTTTAAATAGGTAGAAACAAATTTTTTTAAAAGATGACATCTAAGAATCTACCGTAATGTCAACTCTAACCAAATGTCATTAAAATGACAACTGACAGTGACAGATACGCTGGATGAATAAAAAAATTTAAACGATAAAATAAACAAAATCCGAGGGCGTTGCCTGCCTGCTACGCGTTTTATTTTACTGATAATTCATTGATTTTAATAGATAAACCTTCCGAATACTGTGATAAAGTACAAGATAAGGAATAGAGCCCTACAGATAACATTATCTAGTACATTGTTATAATTCGTTCTATTCAGACCGTGTACCGTTCATTGTTACAAAAATATAAAGATTTTTTTTAGTAAATAAACAAGTGTAGTGTATATAATATAACATAAACGTTATTTTATTATTGATAAACATATTTTAATTCATAAAAGTGATAAAATTTAATACGATAATGTCATAAAAAATAACAAACATTCTATGAACATTTCTCGATGATTCACTATTACGAATCGCATTTAGACAGACTAAAAAGTCTATTGTCATGAGAAAATGTTGAAAAATAGTTTTTTAACAGTTTTACTGTGTGCAAGTGTTCGAAGTCAGTCAAATAAAGACCTTTATAATGGTGAGATAAACAACGAGTTTTATAACTCCAGGGAAGAAATATCCCGTGTCACCGGGATTCCTAGCCCGGGTGACACTGATTACAGGACATATGTGTACAATAATAGGAGGTATGGGATAAATCCTACACGGTACAACCCTTACAACCCCAATATAAACCAGCCAGGAGGATTTCCTTACAATCCGATAGAGACAAACCCACTGGATGAACAGTTTAAATATAATATTGTAAGTATATAAAGAAAATGTCTTTATTTCACAATTTTATGTCATTCTCTCGCTCAAGCCACCACAGCTACTCTATGAAGAGTACATTACTGATGATTTTTACTCTTTATAAATAAGTTATGATTTACATACTGGTAGATTGGTGTTAAATATGTGAAATTGAAGAACTGAATCTCTCAAGTACCTGTGTCATACATAATTACATTAAAAAAAGGTTCTAAACCTTTGTCACTTGATATATTTCATTTAATGTAACTTCTCAGTTACATTAAAACAAATATATATTCTCATATTAAGCTCAGATAACTGAAATATCAATTAAAATGATTAGATCGAGCTGTTGATGGATGACATTTTTTCAACCTAGAATATTATAAATATGTTTTATAGTATTAAATGGTGCCTGACTATCTGTGCTGTAAATTGTGAATATGCAAAAAATATTAATAATTTCATTAATGGCCCATAATTAATGAAATCTTACAGATGAGACATATCCTATTCACATTAAATATAGTAAATTAGGCTTTATTGTCCATACATCATATTTTTTTATTTAAACTTGAATATTGTAAACAGGCTGATGATCTACCTGATAGAAAGTATCAATTTCTGTCTAGTCATGTTCTAGAAAATTTCACTACTTGCACAAAATACACTACTAAATAAGCTAGCTTGATAAATAAAATATTATTCTGTCCAAACTCTAATTCTCTTTTTTTTCTGTTAACTTCATAGGACTATTTTTCAAACTAGGGTAAAGGATTAATCTGGTCAACATCCACATAGTCCTCTCATGGAAACTATCATGCTGAATTCCAGGTCTACTCATCATGATGGGCTAACTATCATCCCTCACTGGTGACCAGTCAGCATGTATCTTTAGCATAGGCAGAATTGCCATTATCATAAAAAAAAACCTAGCATTCCCGAATGACACAACTACCATTATAAACAATAACTTTTATTTATCAATTATTTAAAACAATTTTGTTACAGAATCGAGATCCAAACAATCCTGATGCACTGTTCCCTGGTGTGCTGGGAGGTTGGAGGGAAGACCTTCAGGGAAAAGAGAGGAGAGACTCACGACTATTAAAGAAAAATATATTTGTTACTACAAATTTTGGACAAGTGCAGGGGTTTAAAGTAAGTTTTACATTTTTTATTCTACTATGATAGCAAATGAGCATATGACCCTTGTGAATGTGAAAAAGACTTTATTTTCCATGCTTAGCCTCTCATTTGGGCCATTGTGCGTATGATATGCATGTGACCCTTTTGATAGTAAACACTATACTATGGATACTTGCAACATGTATAGTTTCCTGTATGTCACCAACCTTAATTAATCTTATTACACCATTTTTTAATTAATTTTAAATATAAAAGTAACTAGAATGATTTTAATTTTTTTTTGTGCTTGCTCCAATTGAGCTCACTTCTACATTCATGTTATGGCCACTCATTAATGAATTCGAGTGCATTTCTATATTTTTTTTTTTTTTAATTTTTAAAGTATAATGAGATTTTCTTTTATTGTTATTATAATAATGTATGATTTATACTTAAATATTAAATTGCGGGAAATTAAATTAATAGTGAAAATTATGATGCTATCTTATTATGTGTCATATTTGAATGACACAGTCTACTTTTTACCCAATTAAATCAATGTGCAATGTGAATTTACTTCATATTAAAATAATAGTAATGCCCATAAGAATTCCTTCCACCTTTCATTCAAATCTGTTCATCATTTTAAGGATGACTGAGTAGTAAATGTCCAGACTTTCATATTTATAATATTAATAAAATAAAATCATCAATATTTTTCAACCGATTTAAAAAAAAGTAGTGGTTCTCAGTTTTTTTTTATGTTTATTACCTTATAATTCCATCAGTTATAAACTAATTTGAAAAATTCTCTTTTTATCTCAAAGGATATACTTTCAGATTGATCTCATGGAAATGTTATTAAAAGTAATCCATTATTTTTGTGAAATACTTAATAATCTTAAATTATATTTTCTTAACAGGTATATTTATATGACAATCCTGATCCGAATTCTGGTTACCGACCATGGTTATCAGCAGTGGAGAGGGTGCAGGGAGAAGTATCAGTCTTCCTTGGCATCCCGTATGCTAGACCACCAGTTTTAGAAGGAAGATTCAAGGTATGTTCTTTTAATAAAAGTAAAGATCATTATGAGTTGTGTCTACTTAATACATTTGTTTTTAAAAGACTTCGGATAATTGTTCTCTGTTGATTTTTTGTAATCTCACAGGATTCTATTATTCTCTGTCCACTGCCGAACATAGACCTTCCCCATAAGGGGAGATTTGCCAGTAGTTGCCACTCTTGACCGGCAAGTTGGCAGCCACAGTTAGGTTTTGGTTATGTCTTAAGAAGGATGCTGCTGCCCATCCCTCGACCGTTATGTTCCCTTTGCGACAATATTTTTAATAATATATTTTTATAATAATTATTTCAAATATAAACACAATAGATATGTAAATGTGTCAATGACATATGCAACAAAGGGTAACCGCTTCATATTGTCTTTTGCACTTTTGCTAGTGTTGTAATATTTCCGTAACAATTGCACTCTTTTTAACTCATACACATTCAATTAATAATTTGACCTTCATGTAAAATATTACTGAATTTTAACTTTTTTGTTGTTGTTGATAATGAGATGGTATAGCCTTGCGCTATCAGTATACGCTGGCGTAACACCAATGAGACATAAATGAGGATTAAAGCAAGTCAGCTAGCCTCTTTGATTTCTTGAGGCAGTGCATTCCAGAGTCTTGAAGCTATGTTGATGTAATAAACATTTATTCGCCATTAAGCATTTAATTTTTACCATCTATCTTCACGCAAAGTCCTTTGCGGTGTAGACAGAGAGAACAGAGTGCGAAAGTCTTGTATCCCTACATACGTCTCTTGCTTTATCCATTCTCATAACTCATCTCATGCATGCATGCCAATTCTGGAGAGTCCGAGAGACCCTTAGATGGTACACGGTATATTTGATCGTCATAGATTAGTCTAAGATTTCCTCATTACTCTATCTACATGTTATGTGTAACTTTAGCATGGTATTTTCTATTTTTTATTAAAACAATATTTTGACAGCCGCCCCGACAACACCCTGGTTGGCAGTTAATGCAAGCGGTAGACTGGGGCCCGGCGTGCCCGCAGCCAGTACGGTTCACTGGAGCCACGAAAGGCGTACGCGATATGGACGAAGACTGTCTCTACTTGAACATATTCTCACCCAATGTAAGTATCTTTTCAACCACCTTCAAAATTGATAATTTAACTGTGCTTTTTATGTTATGTAATATTATTATTATTTTCTATTTGTGCAATGATCTTTTATTTATTTATTCTTTATTTACCACATTACAAAAAATGTCTGGTACTAAAGGCGGACTACTATATAGCATTCTCTCCCAGTCAACTTTTGGCAAAACAGAAATTTAAATATACAATAAAAAAAATTAAAATTGTTGTAAATAAATATTTACACGTAAGTTATTGAAGTCGCTGGCGGAAGACCCAAAAAAAAAACCAATTTTATAAATATAACTAAATTTAATTCTAAAATTAATTATTACAATAATAAGTGTCTTCAGATCGATGTGTGATCAGTAAGTGAAGTTATATCAAATCAAACATAAAGGAAATGGGTATTTTTGCTGCGGGAATTGAAATGCTGACTGGACGCAGGTGTCTTTCTCGGTAGCGCACCTTCTTGCGTCATGCTAGGTGGTCCGATCCGATCGCCGTTGAGGGTGTGTCGTAATACTTGATAGGTATCTACTATAACACGTACGTATTGATATACTTACAAATCACAACACATACAATTATGATTATATAAATATACATACATGAATACACTAAACAAATATTACATAAATATACAAATATATATCATAAAACATACATACCTACTTATAGATTATATACGATAACACAAATAAGCGACGATAGAGATCAAAAGTGATGATGAAGATGATGAACTGCTTTCACAGCTTTTTCAAAAGATCTTCTGGCAATGTTCTGGATTTACTCACGTTCTATGAGAATTGTTGACGATTAGACACGATACCGATTGTAGGCTTGGGCCTACAATCGGTATCGTGTCCATAAGGACTTATGTCTAAGACTAGACTTTGTCTCCCTTTGTGTTTTACCACTTGTATAACGGATTGTGTTCTGAGAAAATGTTTGAAATGATGTCTGCAGCCACTTTTTATCACCGCACCGCTCGCCATCGACAGAGAGTTCATCCTCACACGTTTGATCCTAAAAGGTCACATACAGTGCGGTTGCAGAGAAATTTTCTCTCACGAACGCTTAGGCTGTAGGATGAGCTCTCTGCCGCGGTTTACCCTAGAGACTACAGTATGAGGTTCATCAAAAAGCGTATATTAAGATTTCTTTTTTTTTTTTTATACAACTTAGAATGGCAAACAAGTTGACGGTCCACCTGATGGAAAGTGGTAACCGTCGCCTATAGACATGAGCAGTACCATGGACATAACAGAGTATACTGTTTCGCTCATGATACCCCCCATGCGTTGCCATTCCTGAGGACTCAGGTGGGTGTGTGTCTGTGCCCTGTAAATTCTTCGAGGTTGTCTGCTTGTTTGCCACCTTTCTGGTATATAAAAAAAAAGAAAAAACTAAAATATTTTTAAGGAACGAATTCGTTTCGGTGTACATATTTATTAAATTAATCAGAACAGTTGGTGAAGATTTACCCAAATCACAAAATGTCTGAACACAGAAATCTTTTTGGTTTACACTTCATAAATTTTGGTTTTCGGTTTTTTTTTATTGATATAAAATATGTCAAAAAACAATATATAAAAGATGTGATATTGTTATGGCACGGCGAAACAGTTCGTTTCATCGTATCAGAGTACTACTATTATTATTTATTATGTACTTCATTCTCGGCTAATTTGCCGGTTTTCTCAAACAACCCGTCCAAAAACCTTTGAAAAAAAGAAAGCTGAGACCCCATCCCGTTTTATTGCGTGTGTGTATGCAAATATGCATACACATATATATTACTACATATATAATATTTTTATGCTTCATAGCTCTATACGTGTGTGTGTGTATGTGTGTATCTGTAGCGTTGTAATGTGGTGCATCTTGTGAGTTTAGTGTAATTTATTTATTATATTATTATATAATATAATAATTAATAATAGTATTTACTGTGCTACCAAATAATCACTTATTTTGCTTTTTCATTTTGTTTTTTCAACCGACTTCAAAAAAGAAAAGGTTCGTAATTTGGTCGTATTATTTTTTATATTTGTTATAATTCATAAATCATTTATAAGTCGATTTGGAAAATTCTTTTTTATATGAAACAATTTACTTTTAGATTACTCCCATGGAAATTGTATTAAAATCGCTTCAATACGTTAGTTTTTAAACTAATTTGGTCATGATTGAAATAGGTTTTTTTTTTTTTATTTTATGGAACATCTTAAATTATTACTATCTTGTAAAATGTACTAAATGAGTAATTAGTGATTTTGTATTTAGTAATTTTATATTAAGATACATTTTGCCTTTTCACCGTTGGCAAATTCGTTAATGAATCACTTTGAATATCATCGTAACATTGTCTTCGACAATAATTAACGAACACTCAGTCCGCTCGCACCAATTATTTGATAACGCGTTCGGTACCAACAGATATTTGCCCATCGAAGCTTTACTGAAATACACACCTAAATATAGCTTCTAACGTTAACGGCATAAAGTTCACTATCTAAAATTTAAACTCTACCGTCTAAACAACAAATGTCATTCTGGCCAAAATGCAAGCGGCCTATGACGAATTCCGCCAATTAAATCCATTATGGCGTTCACTAATGAAACGTTGCAGGCTAGTGACCTGTGCAATCATAGCTTGATTACGTTTGCAAGTTTAATTGGAGCTACTGACTAATAAACGGGAACAAAGTCGGCCGCCTCGCCCTTTGTTCGCTTTTTAAATTAAAAAAAAAAAATAATAACACATTCGATGAGATCCGTTAAAAAAAATTCGTTCGAATTTTGAATTCAAATATTTATTGCGTTCTACAGTGTTAAAAAATAAGAAGTCCGCGTTATGTTTGATTTGAACACGTTTTTAGTGTTCCGTGCCAAGGAAAACGAAACCTTTATAGGATCACTTTTCTATCTCTGTCTGTCCGTGTATCAAGACCCTTTTTCTCAGGAACGCGTGGAAGCATTAAGCTTAAATTAATGTAAAATATACAAATCTGTTAAAAATGTCCACCCGTGCGACGCCGGGATGGGCCGCTAGTATACTAATTGTAAATGTAAAGACATTTTTACATTTTAAAAAGGGACCATTAAGGTTGCACACGGGACGGAAGCTTAAAAGTGTGAACATTGAACAGGCTTATATGACGGTCATAAATATATAATAGATCCAATTGTTTTTTAAAATTGTCATAATGTCATATGTGGAATTACCACCATTGTCACACTTTGGTATGAAGGTTAATAAATACAATAAAACGCCTATGTAATTTAACTAACACCGCACTCAATTTATTATTCCAGTCATTATCAGATGTACTGGATCCAACGCACATGGGACAATAGCGGTCAGCGTCGCCCCGCTATTATGTATTTATTACCCCCAGACCTAATTGTCGAGGCCTTATTTATAAATAGCGGTTTACATAATCATAGCTACTTTATGCATGTTTCGAAAACGTCATAAAATAATGTTTACTTTAATACAATCCCGTAGTACTATTTTCCCGTGTTCTATTTTCATCTTCCAGTTTTAGTCTCTCCTGTCGTATGTGTGCTTTTAAATTTGTGTATGTTTATGTGTATATATGTGTATATGTGTGTGCGTGTGCGTATGCGTGTGCGTGTGCGGGTGCGGGTACGGGTGCGGTTGCGGGTACGGGTGCGTGTGCGTGTGCGTGCGTGATTGTGTGCGTGCGTGCATGCGTGCGTGCGTGCGTGCGTGCGTGTGTGTGTGTGTGTGTGTGTGGATATATATAACAGATTAATAAAGGCATACATTTCTGTTCCCAGGCGGAGGCCGGTTCGACTGCTCAGAAGTATCCCGTAATGGTATACATCCACGGCGGTCAGTTCATGTCCGGCGCCTCCAATCTGTTCCCGGGGCACATGCTCGCAGCCTTCTACAATGTTGTGGTGGTCTCGATGAATTATAGGCTCGGAGCTCTCGGTAAGAATGATGCAATTTTTTTTAAACAACACCCCAAAGGCGTTTATCGATTTCTTGTTTTTTTTTTTGTCTGCTACTATATCACGCACATACGTTGCCAAATTTGAACGGATTTTTTGAAATTTTTATTGTAATCGATAGAATTTTCTTTCTTGTTAGTCCCATATTATTTTTTAACGATTGAAATTGAACGTTTATTATTGCGGAGCAAAAAATATTTGTAGCAAAATGTACCTGAAACAATCAATTCTATATTCTACATTAAAAGGTTTATAATATAAAGTAAAAATGAAACATCTAATCAATTATCATTGTTTATACATATATTTGTCGTGTATGTGTTAACAAAGTCGCTTTTTTCGGAAAGTTGGAACGATATATACTTATTAAAATCTTCGTTCGCAAGTTGTGAAAAGGTTAAGGGCCCATAAACACAACGTCCTGTTGTTCTGAAGTTCTCCTATAATATACAGCGTGTCTAGCTGTCATTTGCAATCATCAATCAATCAATACATATAATAAAATCGTACCTTGTCGCTTTCTGTACATGGGAGATGTATAAGAAAAACTATTATAAGGGGCTTTGTGAATGCAATGGAATCCAAAATAATGATTTTTAAAATTTTTGTTTGTATGTCTGTTTGTCAGTACGTTTGTGCGCGCTAATCTCAGAAACGGCTTAACCGATTTGAATGCAGTTCCACTAATGTGTTGCGGTTTGCTCCACTTAACATTTAGTGTTTGTTTAATTTCAATCGGTTCATAAATAAAAAAGATATCAATCTAAAGAATCACATAAAATAACCAATCAGTTGAATAAACTGAAATTTTATGAAGATCAGTTATATATCATATTTTAACTTTAGGTTAATTATTCACGTGAGCAGCGCCGCGGGAAACAGCTAGTTAAACATATTATTTTGTCTATTGTCATGTTTCTTAAATAAAATGTTCAGTTACACTGCTAGAACATACCCTTAAAAGAATACCACGTTTTTCCACAGGTTTTCTCTCGACTGCTGACGAGAACTCACCAGGCAACTATGGTATCCTGGACCAGGCTATGGCACTCCGCTGGGTGTATGATAACATCGCCCCGTTCAACGGTGATCCATCTTCAATCACGCTCTTTGGTCCTGGAGCTGGTGCCGCGTCAGCTGGTCTCCTGGCTGTCGCGCCGCAAACTAGGGATATTGTGACCAGGGTCATTGCTCAGGTTAGTACTATATTACCATTATTCCTGTGAAGATAGCGCCCTCTGATATCAAGAATTTAGATAGATAGATAGATATATCGTTTATTTGTTTGTTACTAATCACACACAACATGTTCATAAGAATAGGTAATACATAAAACAACATTAAGATTTATAAAATTGTGTTATTATGTGTGACCTGCAGCAATACAAAAAGGTCGAAGCTCAGCGTGGAACATTGTTCAAGAAACAAAACACTGATTTTCAGCTTTACCCCTTTTGAGGGTACATGAATTATTGAGGGTATTTCTGCTTGATACCAGAGAGCTTACTAGACAACAGCTGTACTTAAACTCCAAAGCACAAAACAAGGGGAAGGGATTGTTAGTAATGCAGACTACCAGTGCCATTGCTAGCAAAGGGAGACTTTGTACAAAAGTCGATTGCTTAGGTACCTCTGTTCCATTCGTGTTTCAACCGTGAAGCAGTTGTGTTTGCATGGCTGTGTTTCAGTTTGAAGGGTGGGACATGGCGTAAATTTACAGGGTACACAGGAATAACACCTGAGTCTATATCATCATCATGTATCAAGGGCGAAACAGTATACTGTGTTATGTCGATGGTACTGCTCATGTCTATAGGCGACGGTTACCACTTTCCATCAGGTGGGCCGTCAGCTTGTCTGCCATTCTAAGTTGTATAAAAAAAATAGCAATATACCCTGTCAGGTCTAATTCCCTCCTGGAAACCAATGTGTTGAATTCCGGGTGTGTTCATCACGATAGTCTAACTGGCCTGCCTTTTCATTCTCACCTATCATCCCTAACTGGTGCCCCGCCAGCGTATACCATTAAAGCAGGCAGGGTATCCATAAAAGCACAACTGGCATTCACTTTTGAAAGACCCAAACACATAAAATTAAGATAAATTTATTTTAATACATTTCTAATGATTTTATTACATACTTTTCCAGAGCGGCTCGGCGATGGCTGACTGGGCGTTAATTCAGGACAAGTATAGAGTGCAAAACACATCTCTAGTCTTCGGTCGGCTGCTCGGCTGCCCCATAGACTCCTCGTGGAAACTAGTCAACTGTCTCCGCCAGGGCCGAAGCTTCTATGAGCTCGGCAACGTTGAATTTCAGGTAAACATTCTAAATATTATAATTTAAAAATCTTGTTTTTTAAAAAGCAATTTTTTTTTCAATATTAAAAGGTCTTCGATTCGAAAAGTGGGAAATGACAGTAAAAAATACAAGCTATGAAGGCATAAAACATCTTACTCCTAAAAAATGGCCATTAATAGACTTTCCAAGGTTTCTATTCTATAATATTCATGTCAAGTCTATAGGCGACGATTTGACTATTAAATTCAACGAATTGATCGCCTATCTTCGATCTCATGAAGACTTAGAAACTCGGATAGCCGCAGAGCGTGGCGCATCGCAGAAGAAAACGTGCTAGACAGCGTGGCCGATCTTCCGCCGACTGAAGATCGACGCTCGATGAAACAGACGCCGAGTACGAGCATTACTCAGCGTAACGTTGACATAGTGACCGATCTTCCGCGCTGTGTGACTGTGAAGTTGTAAATTGTCTGCAATTTGATGTATAGGGACACCATCGTGAATGATCGGTGACTCAACATGTGGTGCTAATATTACAATGTTCAACAAGATGAGCCATAGTCTAATGTACCATTTGATGTTTTTTTCCAGCCACAAGTCGGCTTCATACCCTGGGGTCCAGTGCTCGAGAACAACTTCACATTCCCTGGTGATGAGTGGTACGAGGGTTGGAGGGAGCGTGATTGGCATTTCCTTAACTTGACACCCGAGGATCTCATACAACGAAGGCAGTTCAACCCAGCTCTGCAGTATATGACAGGAGTGACCACTCAAGAGGCCGCCTATTACATTTGTAAGCGATTTTGAACCTTGATTACATAGACATAAAGAAATACTATTTAATGCATGGCTATATTGTCTAACCTACCAATAGTAGGGAGGAAGGAATTGTTAGTAATGCGGACTACCAGTCTTATTGCTATCAATATACCCTGTCAAGTCGACCTCTACGTGATCCCTCCTGGAAACCATCGTGCTGACTACCAGATCTATTCATCACAATAAGTTAACTGACTTTTTATTCTCACCTATCATTCCTCACTGGTGCCCCGCCAACGTATACCTTTAGCGCAGACGGAGCTATCATTCCATCACCATGTATAAAAAAACCTACTGATGGTTCCAGATTCGAACTCCATATAGTATAAATATTACTGTGGCTTTTTCTGCCCATAATGTGTACGAAACAAAAATTTAATGCAAGCGTTCCTTAGCGCGGAACTAGATGACGTTGTGTTATTTTTTTTTTTCTAAAATATTCCCTAGTATATTTCAAAAAGCTGAGAGAAAAGGGTTTGAATCCTATCGAGCTGTCTTGAGGTTAAATTTATCGACCGAGTATATTTTAAAATTCCCTAATGCAATTAGCATTTCAAAATTGTTTTCGATTACATTTGCAATACAAAAAAAATCCAATAATGTTTGCAGACAACAATGACTCGTTGGCACCAAGATACGAGATCAGCGAGGGCTGGTTCAACCAGAAGGTGGCAGAGCTGGTACTGCGGTACAACTACACGCTGAACCCGCGCGGCGTGTACGAGGCCATCCGCTATATGTACACCTACCATCCCGAGCCGCACAATATCAGCGCCATCCGGGACCAGTATATACATGTGAGTGCTTGAAACTGTATTAACAATATCAGTACCGGTCGAAAATCTATATATCGTTACTGATTCCTCTAAGCATTGATTAAAAGGTCATCATCTATTACGTAATCGCCTATAGTATTTACAACATCGGTATCGGTTTAATATCTATATATTATAGTTGGATATTGATGGCAGAATAAAAGGTCATCATATATTGCGTAATCGCCTATAGTATTTACAACATCGGTATCGATTTGATATCTATATATTATAGTTTGATATTGATGGTAGAATAAAAGGTAATCATCCATTGCGATATCACCTATAATATTAACAACATCGGTATCAGTCTGATATCTATATATGTGGGATTGGATGTTTCTAGGTATGTGAAAGGAATAGTAATGAGAGTAAAGATGATGAGGGAAAGAGATGCATGATACAAGTATGATTGGTCGACGCATAAATGGAACGAGATGGCGTTACGATTCGAATCCTGTAAAAGAGCTGTGGAGCAAATAAATTTATAAAAATTGAATATAGTCTGATTTTCCGCCCACGACTTCCCACATATATTATAATTGAATATTGATGGTAGAATAAAAGGTCATCATCCATTGCGATATCACCTATAGTATTAACAACTTCGGTATCGGTCTGATATCTATATATTATAATTGGATATTGATGGTAGAATAAAAATCTTCATTCATTTTAATATCGCCCGTACTGTTTGGATAACTGTAGTCATTTTGTTCAGGTTCTTTATTTAGATATTCTTTATTGAGCAACTAATATTTAATATATCCGTTATTGGACCAATATATAGATATTGGAACTACAATATATAGAACCAGTTTAGGTTAATCATTTTTTTTTTTATTTTATTTGATTTTTACAATATTTTCTCAAATATAACACTAATCATGTTGAGTAGATATTATTCGACATTGTTTAGAGGGTGTCGAAGTACTATTTCTGGTGCTGACTATATCTTACCGTCTGGGGTGAAAAGGGATTGTTAGTAATGGTGATAGCCCTATTAGGTCGACCTCCACATGGTTCCTCCTAGAAACCATAGTGATTGATTCATTGTTGAATTCGTCCCAGTGGACCAACTGACCTGATTCATCTTCACTTATTATCCCTCACTGGTGCCCCGCCAGCGTATATCGATAGCGCAGAAAGGGTTAACATTTCATTATCATCCATTAAAATAAAAATATCTTTCCATCTTCTCAACGATCTATCTATCTCTTTCTATGTCTAATTTGTTAAATACTATTTATTCACAGCTCCTCTCCGATTTCCTATACCGCGCACCGACTGACAAAATGGTGAAATTACTTCTCGAGCAAAACGTTCCGGTCTACATGTACGTACTAAACACGACAGTGGAAGCGTTCAAGTGGCCGGAGTGGCGCCAGTACTCGCACGACACGGAGCACTACTTCCTAACGGGCGCGCCCTTCATGGACCAGGAGTTCTTCCCAGTGAAGCAGCGTATCGAGCGACAGGCCTGGACGCCCAACGATAGGAACATGAGCCATTTCTTCATGAAGGCTTATTCGGACTTCGCGAGATTCGGGTATGTGATATGTGTTAAAAGAGTGGAGATATTTTTTTTTTCCTGATTTAAATAGAATGGTAACACTACTTGAACTATTAATTTACACTGGTAAAGTATCCATGAGAATGAAGTCAGGTCAGTTAGTCCAATGTGATGAATTAATCTTTTTTTTTTTATACAACTTAAAATGGCAAACAAGCTGACGGTCCACCTGATGGAAAGTGGTAACTGTCGCCTGTAGACATGAGCAGTACCATGGACATAACAGAGTATACTGTTTCGCCCATGATACCCCCCCATGCGTTGCCATTCCTGAGCACTCGGGTATTATTCTTCCGTACCCAGTAAATTCACAGAATTAACCGCAATGGATTCCATGAATGATAATAGAATGGTAACCCCGCCCGCGCTAACAGTATATGCTGCCGGGGCTTCAGTGAGGAATGATAAACCAAGATGAAATAGTAAGTCAGTTAGCCCATCGTAATAAATACACCTGGAATTCAGCACAATGGTTTCCAGGGTGGACTACGGGGAGGGCAACCTGACAGGGTATATCGACTAGTACTCCACATTAGTAGTTTCCATTCCTCCTGCCATGCATGGCCACTATCTATGGAATCTCCCGGTCTATGTTCCCTTGTGTTCATTAGTGGACAAGCAACGACTGATGTGATTATTAGTCAACCAGTAAAAACATAACAATATTTTGCAGTAACCCAACAAGATCCCGCATCCTCGGCGTCCACTTCGAGATGGCGAAAGCTGGACAACTGCGTTACCTGAACCTCAATACGACCTACAACTCCACCATACAACTCAACTACCGGCAGACTGAACTCGCATTCTGGACAATGTACCTGCCAACTGTCATTGGACGTCTAGTGCCTACTTACCCACCTATTACTGAGGTAAATGTTCTTTTTTCTTTTTATTACTCATGATTTACTTTAGGTGGCGTGTTAATAATAATCTTTTGGACGTATACTCCTGGTATAGAATGGACAACCCTTTCCTGTCCCGTGGGTGTAGTAAAAGGTGACTAAGGGACAGCGAAGGATATTTGTTTATTTATTTTATTTATTTATTCATTATTGCACAATAAAACTGTACAAGTGGCGAGCTTAATGCCATATGGCATGCTCTACCAGCTAACCATTAGGTAAAAACAGAAAGCGTAGGAAGGATAGGCAGTAGCGTCCCTCTTAAAACATCTCTAAAGCTTAACTGTGGTTGCTGATCCGCCTGTCGAGCGTGGTAATTACTGGCAAAATTCTTCAAGAGGGAAACTTATGTTCAGATGAAGAAATAGGTTAATATTTATCCTGATCAATAAACATATACCGGAAACGCGAACGAAGTCGCAGGTAAAAGCTAGTAGACATAAAAATACAAATGTCTTCAATCCTTTGGTATTAGAGCTGTTAAATAATAAAGTGACTTTTTTAATTATTCAAACTTATATTATACATTTTGAACAATAATCTGTAGTTCCTTGACATTCATATATATATATATATATATATATATATATATATATATATATATATATATATATATATATATATATATATATATATATATATAACAAATAAACAACAATATAACAACAATCAAATATCTCGACCTGGCTCACGAGGTGACCGAAATGTGGAGGGTGACGTCCACCGAAATCATTTCAATCGTTATATCGGTAAACGGTCTTATCCCAATCAGTCTGGAGCATCATCTCAGACGGTTGGGATTCCGAGGCGGCTCACTCCCGGGAAAGATGCTGCGATTTCTCTCCCTGGGGCCCTGAACCCTGGTCGATTGTGCTTCTGCCGAGGGATAGTTTGCCATCTCCTCTCCTTAAGAGGGGAGATGTAAATTGTCTAGAAATTTAAAAAATAACAATGGTAATAACTGTTTTTATTGAATAATAAATTACATACATTTAGTAAGATGTACTAGCCACCAAACTTTGCCGAGCCTGTATCTCATTGGATAGTTCAATGACTTCCATTGTCTTAAGTATTTATAAAAGACGTTACAATATCGAATATAAACACACTCAATTACAATGTCAAAAATATTTTTGGTGATTCATTCATTTCTTTATCTACTAAATGTTTAAACAATTTTGTCATGCGCCTGCGCAGTTCTGGTGGGAGCCGAAGCAGCCGCTGCAGATCGCGTTCTGGACGGTGAGCTGCGCCTGCATCGTGCTCATCGTGCTGCTCGTCGTCTGCTGCATGCTCTGGAGGAACGCCAAGAGGTAACACACACTACGCTGCATCTTCACACCCGACATATAGAAAGGAGGGCTGTCTATCACTGTAATAGGAACAAGCGATCTCATTTTTATAAATACAGCATGTTAGGGGGGGGGGTGACTGTCTGTCACGAAGATAGAGTACCTATGCTTATGGCGTACAATAGAGGGGTACCAGTAGATGAAACGATGTAGTCAAGGCAGTTGACATATCGTAATGAGTTTACTAGGAATTAATCACGACAGGTCCCAGAGTGACTGTGTGGAGGTCGACTTGACAGGGGTAATTGCTAGCAATAAAAACTAAAATATTCATTACTAACAATCTCTTCTCCCTAATAAGTAGGTATTGGACACCTTTCCCTATTTTCATATGAGTAAAGGATCATCCACCGTGTAGTCCCAGCATAGAAGGAGCCAGCCTCTCGTTTTCCATGGGTGTCGTAAGAGGCGACTAAGGGAACTTAATGATCGAGCAATGGGCAGAATCGTCCCTCTTTAAACATCACCAAAGCCTAACTGCAGTTGCCAACCCGCCTGTCAAGCGTGGCAACTCCTAGCAAAACCTCCCAATAGAAGGAGGCCTATGTTCTGCATTGGACAGTTAACAGCTGATGTGTTCTGATCATCAGTTATCCTTGTGATTACGGAGCAAGGTGAATATATCAGCCATAGCAAGAGAATAGCAATACATGAAGGGTATCATGGTTGACACAGTATACTCTGTTATGTCCATGGTACCGTTCATGTCTATAGGCGACGGTTACTACTTTCCATCAGGTGGGACGTCAGCTTGTTTGCCATTCTAAGTGGCATAAAAGAACGCTGTAATGAATGCAATACTGAACAATGGTCATATTTCGTCCAACAATATTTTTATGTGAACAAGCCTACCACCGTCTCTCGGATTTAGTTTCTCTGCGGTATTTCACATATTATCAATTCAGCTATTAACTGTCCACTGCTGAACATAAGCCTTCCCCATAAAGGGAGTTTTTCCAGTAGCTGCCACGCTTGGCAAGCGGATTGGCAACAGCATTTCAAACATACAACGTCCCAAATGAAACGATCAGTGCGGATATGGGACTCCAATTTATATATTCAATATTTACGTTGCTGGCCAGTTTCGAACTCACGACTTACTGTTTATGAGTCGGGATAGTCTAAATTTAAATTTTAAATTAATTAAAACAAATATTTTATATAACGATTTTAATGACAAAATTATTTTCACAACAGGGCTTTGCCACCGAAATGGAAAATGTTACCGGCCATGTAGGTGACTTTTAGCGGGTTTAAATTTTTTTTTTTTTTATTTCGCTTCGGTTTATATTGCGAACGTTTTTTGTTTCGTCTTATAGTTACAGAGTAGGAGTGGGTAATATATAGCAATAACTATATATTTTAGTTACAATATCTATATACTGGTCCAAAACATATCCGTTATGTTAAAAGTATGTTGTCCAAAAAATAATATTGGATAACAAACTTTTAACGTATTCGAAAATAGATATCCAATCGATATAGGCGATATCGAAATGAGTGATGACCTTTTTTCTCCCATCGATCTCCAGAACGGATCGGTTTCCATATTACCCATGCCTATTATAGAGGCTTGTAGATGTAATTTTGTTTAGTTGCATTTTGGTATTTTTAGTATTGTATGTGTACGCTTTTATATGAGTGAGTTTATATTACAAGGTGAGAGGTATTTGTGCACGTCCATGAATACCATCGCTTTATTTACAAGAGACATTTAATTATTGAAGTGTTTATTTTAAAAGCAATTTATTTTAAATCTGCTTATCTTAAAATATAGTTAAATTAATTTACTTAATAAGCAGCTAGTATAAAACTACTTATTTTAAAAAGCAGATAAAAATTAACTAGTTTTATTTCATAGCACTTTGTTATAAAATGGCTATTCTTAGAAATAAACCAATTATTAAACTGAATTGTGAATTATTGATATACTTAAAATGTTAAATTACTGAAATGTTTAACTTAACAATTTAATATTTTGTTTTGTTAAACAACAATAACTACGTTTATGACAAAATAGGAACAATACGGGAGTAAATTCGAAGGATTGGGAAATAAGTAAAGAATATTTGTCATAAAGTAAAACATAATTGTCGAATATATCATAGACAAAAAATATTGACAATGTGATTCTCGTTTCGCAAAATATTATGTAATATTTTTTAAAGCGATTTCATTTCAGAAGTCGTTTGCTTGAGCACCTCTGTCCCATTCGTGTTTCTACCGTGAAGCAGTTGTGTTTGCATGGCTGTGTTTCGGTTTGAAGGGTGGGATATGGCGTGAATTTACAAGATACAGAGGAATAACACCCGAGTCCTCAGGAATGGCAACGTATGGGAGGTATCATGGGCGAAACAGTATACTCTGTTATGTCCATGATACTGCTTATGTCTCTAGGCGACGGTTACCACAAACCATCAGGTGGACCGTCAGCTTGTTTGCCATTCTAAGTTGTATAAAAAAAAAATATCACTATTATTTTGTTAATATATTTATTGAAATACGTTAAAACTAGTTTTCAGCAGTAACTAAATTCAATAACAAAATTAAAATTTATTCCCCATTAGAGAAACAGACAGATACTACAACGGAGACATCTTTATGGTCCCGGAGGGCGATGACACGGGCATAGAGAACACGATGCGTTCCAGAGACAACATTTACGAGTACAGAGACGTGCCCATCAAACGGCCGATCACACCACAGACAACGATAAGCAAAGCGGTTAGTTTTTTTTTTTACAACGGGGCAAACGAGCCTGCAGCTCACCTGATGGTATGTGACTACAGCCGCCCATGGTCACCCACAACACCAGCGGCATTGCAGGTGTGCTGCCGGCCTTTTATAGACTTATTAGTAGAATTTTTTATTTATTTAAAATTGAAAAAATAAAATTAATCATTTCTCTTAATAATAAGCGAATATTTTAGTCGATTCAATTATTCTTTTAAATTTTCATTAACATAAATTGATGAAAACTTAAACGAAAGACTTTTTAGGATTCCAGAACTCAAAAAAGAAAACTAAATGCTTATAGGATCACTCATGCGTTTGCGTCCGTCCCAGTTAAATTGCACCGAAATCATTGGAACGATCGAGTTGAAAGTCTGTGACCCAAAGACGGGCATGTAAGATAAATAAATTTTAAACATGACGGCTACTTCTTTTATAATATTTAGAATGGCGAACAAGTAACGGTCCACCAGATGGAAAGTGATGCCTATAGACATGTACAGCACCGTGAACTTAACAGTATATCCTGTAATACCCATAGTACCCCTCGTTACCAGAGAACTAGATTGTAACTAGAGATATGTTGCAGACGAGTCAGCCGTCGATGCTGCAAACTCGGCCAGCATCGCAAGCGTCCACCGGCTCGGCCATCTCGCTGAAAGAGTCTTCGGTGTCCCGAGCGCCCGAACCACTACCACGCGCCCGCAGTCGCACGCACATCGTGCGAGGCGTGCCGCAAACCACCGTCTGATAGTGTGCGCTTGCCCTTATTTACTGGTGAGTACATCCTCGCCCTGTACCTTACTATTATACCTTATTGATACCTGTAGATAGATAGATAGATAGATACTCTTTATTGTTTCCTCCAAAAGATTACAATAGTAAACTTATTATAAATATAAATAATTACAAGAAATAATCACAATGAGAAAACAATGGGCGACCTTATCGCTAAGAGCGATTTCTTCCAGGCAACCTTTGGATGGAGAGGAGTAATTATAAACAATTTGGTGGGAGGCACGATGAAAAATTTTGTTAGTTCTAAATATGGGAGATGTGATACATATAATAATATAAATATTATCCCTACTCATTATTATATTTATATACATACACCTACACACACACACCTGTATTTTACTAGTTTCTTGTAATTGTTTGTATTTATAATAAACTAGCGGCCCAGGACGTGCTTCGCTACGCATAAAGTGAAATAATAAAAAAAAAATAACATCAAATTAATTTGTTCAGACAAAAAAAAAATATTAATTGTTAGCTATTTTAATTGTACTGTCAACACTGAAAAAAGTTTCAATTTGACAGCACAATCCCCATCTTAAAAAAAGTTTGAATTTGACACAAAAATCCCCATTAACAAAATGATCCGCCGTTTATTGAATTCATTTGTTACAAAAAATGTGATAAATGAAGAACCGCTCAACCGATTTTGTGCAAACTTCACATAAACCATCTACTAAATAGTCCGAACAAAGCCTAAACATTTGGTTTGGATAGGTGAGCCCGTTCTTGTGTTATAAAATTACAACGAAAAGTGGCATTAATTATATATATATATATATATATATATATATATATATATATATATATATATATATAGATTTACTATTGTAATCTTATCGAGGAAACAATAAAGAGTATCTATCTATAATAGTACTGAATGTGAAAAAGACTCCATTTTCCGCGCTTAGCCTCTCACTTGGGCCATTGTGCGTATGAGTCGTGACTAGTGCAGCCAACCTAACTCCGCCCAGAAGCGCAGAAGCTTCCTGGGTTCTTCACAGGCCTCACGGAGCGACCTCACCGTTCCGAGGATTTCTAAACGTTGATGGGCCACAGCCTCACATTCCAGGATTATCCTATAATAGTACTACAAGCACATACTTCATGAGATACGTACTGAAACTTCATAAAATACACCGCACGCTTTTTTTTTCAGGATAAATCAAACTGTATAAGGCTGAGTTCACATGGCTATACACCGCACGTTACAAACAGGATGAATCTTACCCAATATGGCGTCGTAGATACGTTAGCACGTGATTGAATAATAAATGAAACCAGTGTGTGTATTATATAGGTATGTCATTAAATTTGATAACTGATTTAATTAGAAATATCTACCCCCTTGTTCATAAAAACGTCAAACTACCTACAAACTATTTTTAGCTATTGTTTTCTTTTTTCTTTTGCTCTAATTTTTCAACTTGAAAGTTGAGAGACAGTCTGAATTACTTTACATTTGGTTTCCTGTGATAAGAATAGGTAATATAATATATAGCAATATCTATATATTGTAGTTACAAGTACCCGCTCCTAATGAATATTAGGAGCGGGTTCAACTGGTATTCAACTGGTATGGGCGAATCGTAGTGGGTCCAGAAAAACTCAATATATAGATATCGAATATCAGCCATCGATATTCTGCTATATATTGTAGTAACAAGAACCCGCTCGTAATGAGTATAGGTATCCAACTGGTATGGGCGAATCGCAATGGGTCCAGAAAAACTCAATATATAGATATCGAATATCAACCATCGATATTCTGCTATATATTGTAGTAACAAGAACCCGCTCGTAATGAATATAGGTATCTAACTGGTATGGGCGAATCGCAATGGGTCCAGAAAAACTCAATATATAGATATCGAATATCAACCATCGATATTCTGCTATATATTGTAGTTACGAGAACCCGCTCGTAATGAGTATAGGTATCTAACTGGTATGGGCGAATCGCAATGGGTCCAGAAAATCTCAATATATAGATATCGAATATCAACCATCGATATTCTGCTATATATTGTAGTAACAAGAACCCGCTCGTAATGAATATAGGTATCTAACTGGTATGGGCGAATCGCAATGGGTCCAGAAAAACTCAATATATAGATATCGAATATCAACCATCGATATTCTGCTATATATTGTAGTAACAAGAACCCGCTCGTAATGAATATAGGTATCTAACTGGTATGGGCGAATCGCAATGGGTCCAGAAAAACTCAATATATAGATATCGAATATCAACCATCGATATTCTGCTATATATTGTAGTTACAAGAACCCGCTCGTAATGAGTATAGGTATCTAACTGGTATGGGCGAATCGCAATGGGTCCAGAAAAACTCAATATATAGATATCGAATATCAACCATCGATATTCTGCTATATATTGTAGTTACAAGAACCCGCTCGTAATGAGTATAGGTATCTAACTGGTATGGGCGAATCGCAATGGGTCCAGAAAATCTCAATATATAGATATCGAATATCAACCATCGATATTCTGCTATATATTGTAGTTACAAGAACCCGCTCGTAATGAGTATAGGTATCTAACTGGTATGAGCGAATCGCAATGGGTCCAGAAAACCTCAATATATAGATATCGAATATCAACCATCGATATTCTGCTATATATTGTAGTTACAAGAACCCGCTCGTAATGAGTATAGGTATCTAACTGGTATGGGCGAATCGCAATGGGTCCAGAAAACCTCAATATATAGATATCGAATATCAACCATCGATATTCTGCTATATATTGTAGTTACAAGAACCCGCTCGTAATGAGTATAGGTATCTAACTGGTATGGGCGAATCGCAATGGGTCCAGAAAAACTCAATATATAGATATCGAATATCAACCATCGATATTCTGCTATATATTGTAGTTACAAGAACCCGCTCGTAATGAGTATAGGTATCTAACTGGTATGGGCGAATCGCAATGGGTCCAGAAAATCTCAATATATAGATATCGAATATCAACCATCGATATTCTGCTATATATTGTAGTAACAAGAACCCGCTCGTAATGAGTATAGGTATCTAACTGGTATGGGCGAATCGCAATGGGTCCAGAAAAACTCAATATATAGATATCGAATATCAACCATCGATATTCTGCTATATATTGTAGTTACAAGAACCCGCTCGTAATGAGTATAGGTATCTAACTGGTATGGGCGAATCGCAATGGGTCCAGAAAATCTCAATATATAGATATCGAATATCAACCATCGATATTCTGCTATATATTGTAGTAACAAGAACCCGCTCGTAATGAGTATAGGTATCTAACTGGTATGGGCGAATCGCAATGGGTCCAGAAAAACTCAATATATAGATATCGAATATCAACCATCGATATTCTGCTATATATTGTAGTTACAAGAACCCGCTCGTAATGAGTATAGGTATCTAACTGGTATGGGCGAATCGCAATGGGTCCAGAAAAACTCAATATATAGATATCGAATATCAACCATCGATATTATTCTGTTGTTCGCAAATTAATAATGTGGGTAAAATATTTAAAATATTTTAGAGTTTAGTTCTCTCATTCAACATTTTAGGATGGATTTCATTATATAATTAATCAGAGATTAAATCAGTATTACCAACATTGATATTTTATGCAGCTACCATCATCTTGTAACCATTTTAGTTTTAGATAAATTAATACTGTAATTCCAATATTGAGCTGGTCTCTAATAAATTTTGTACAAAAGTCGTTTGCTTGAGCACCTCTGTCCCATTCGTGTTTCTACCGTGCAGCAGTTGTGTTTGCATGGCTGTGTTTCGGTTTGAAGGGCGGGATTTGACAGTGAATTTACAGGGTACAGAGAAATAGCACTGAGTCCTCAGGAATGGCAACGCATGAGGGGTATCATGGGTGAAACAGTATACTCTGTTATGCCCATGGTACTGCTCATGTCTATAGGCGACGGTTACCACCTTCCATCAGGTGGGTCGTTTGCCATTCTAAGGATGTATAAAAAATTCTGTGTCACCATTCACTAATGCTTTCTTTAAAATTAAAATTTCAATTTGATATCACAGAAAATAACAAAATTTCTAATACAGTAGAATCTCGATTATCCGAATCAAATAAAACCAGGGGTATTCCGGATAATCGTTTTCAAAATGAAATCGAACAATAATTAAATTTTAATTTTCTTTTTTAATAATAAGCTATAAAGATAATGGATTACTTAATACCTATGTAATTAAAAATTTTTGTTGGAAATAATTTTAGTTATTAATCTTTGACTTGATGCGCTTCAACTGTAACAACTATATGGAATTAGAGTCGTCCTGTCTTGTCCGGATAATCGAATATTCGGATAATCCGGATTCTACTGTACATTTATGTCAAAATTATTATAAATTTAGATTAAGATGGTCCATAAAATTGTACTTTTGCGTAACTTGAAAACTTGAGACTTATTTAAAAAATATATTTAAGCTATGAATGGTGCCACAGAATCGATACCAGGTTTGAGACAAGTGAGAGTTATTAAAGCATGAGACTTAAAATTGTATAATGGGCGAATAATATTATAAGAATAACTCTGTAAGTACATTTTAATCCTATAAGAATGTAATATTTTTCTAACTAAAAATTCCATACTGCAAATTTTTATAATTTAAAAAAAAAATTATTACTGCATTAATACGACCAGCTTTAATAACTTAATTGGCACGATTTTTTTTAGTAACAATTATATGGTTTATTTATATTATATATTTCCACCGTTAGATGTAAATTGTTTACAAATACACTCCTCGCAAAAATTAACGGAACATAAAAATTTTTGAAATTTTTGGGTGATTTTCAACAGGCTGTATTTCAGTGAAAAATAATCGTACAGGAAATTTAAAAAAAGGGTTTTGAAGCTTGAAAACTCTAGTTTTCAGATTTTTTGGTGAAAAAATTTTTTGAGCTCCGGTTTCCATGCAATTCTTAAACAAAGCTGAAAAGAACTTTGAAAGTTCGATATCTCGGAGACAAATGGTCGTAATTGAGCCATCCAAAGCGATTTTTGAAGCTGAATAAACACGCTAAGAGACCTATACAATGGAGTAGCTCGAAAAAATTTTTCCATGCCCATAGAGTGAAAAACGAAACCTAGAAAATTTAGAAAAAAATTATTTTCAGCTTTAAGAATTGCATGGAAACCGGAGCTCAAAAAATTTTTTCACCAAAAAATCTGAAAACTAGAGTTTTCAAGCTTCAAAACCCTTTTTTTAAATTTCCTGTACGATTATTTTTCACTGAAATACAGCCTGTTGAAAATCACCCAAAAATTTCAAAAATTTTTATGTTCCCTTAATTTTTGCGAGGAGTGTATTATTTTAAAAACAATTTAGCAATTTACATTAATAATTATGAACTTTATATCTAGGGCATTAAAAGTTAAAGTAGTATTTTTTCGAATTCAATTAAATGTTAAGGAAAATAGTCAATAAAATATTTTGTTGATCAAATCCCAATTTAATTCTTAAATTACTTCACAGTTTTTTCTGTCGTGCTTTTCATAAACTTTATTTAAAATATACGACATAACAACATTCCAATTAGTTTTGTCATACGTTACGTACGTACATACGAGTACGTAACAAATTGTCTCACTCTATCGCATGTAATGTGCTAACATTTACTAGTTTTGTTTTTTTTTTAACTTATAGTAATTTTTAACTCTATATATCTTTGCATTGTACTGTCCAGTTTGCAACATATACTAAATGAAATTCAACCAGTGTAACCGAGAATTATTTCTGAAGACTTGGGTGGAAATAACGACATACAAAATTGTCTTACTAACTAACTACATGCGCGTTATTAATATGGAATACTAAAAAAATTTTCTGTTTTCAAACATTGTCTTTGCAAAAAATATCTCTTATATAGTATATGTACACTGGGGTCTATTCTGAAGCACCATTTCACTAAAATTAAAATTCCAATATCGTCATAGTCGCAGAATACTGACGGATCTGACGAATATTACATATACAGATCCGTCAGTATTCTACGACTATGACGATATGATATCGCAGAGAATTTATTACTGTAAGGACCAATACAGCTAATTTTCTAATAGATTTATGTCAAAATTTTTATAATTTTAGTTTATGACGCTCCATAAAACGTTAATTTCACGAAACTATCAAATAAAATTACTAGTTTATGAGATACATTTATTGAATTTTTAATAGATATTGTGCTAAATAGCTACCGCCTTTTTCTGTTCTCCTCTACCCAAAGGTTGTCTGGAATAGATCGCTTTAACAATGAAACCGCTTTTTAAATGTACATAATATATTACGAATATAATTCTTTAAGTAGTGCAATAAAGAGTAAATAAATGGCGCATTAGAATCGACCCTATTGTCTTTGATTTTATATATTATACATATGTCGCCGAAGTAACACGTGCGTTTCATATTTGTTCGTAATATTTCAGTCATTGACATCTGATTATTTATTAATACCATTACCTAGTTTTATATTAGACTGATTTTTAAACTAGACGTAGGTATATTTAGTAATTATCAATTGTAAGTTGCACCGGATTAGGCTCGTTTTGACAGATGTCAAATTGACACATAAATTTGTTGATATCTCTCTTTTTCATATAAAAAAATTATAATTCGGTCCTGATTTTCAAATGTACCTTTAAAAATTTAAAAGTAATTATCAATTGTAAGTTGCACCGGATTAGGTTCGTTTGGCAGATGTCAAATTGACACATAAATTTGTTGATATCTCTCTTTTTCATATAAAAAAAATTATAATTCGGTCCTGATTTTCAAATGTACCTTTAAAAATTTAAGTGCTTCACATATTAACTAGGTTTAAAAATAAATGACAAACAAAATTTCTAGTACGTTTTCACTACCGCATGCTTATGTATGATTTTACATCTCTGCATAGGTTATAAATCCATTATTATAGGTCATATTCAATTGTGAATTTTTATTATTTAGACGTTTTATGTTACCTTTGAGGTATGTAATTATTATGAAGTATTAATATTTATTATGGACAAAAAATATACTTTTAAAAAAGATTTTCATTTTTTATAAATAAAAACAGCATTGTCTATGGTTGAACATTTATTTCTATATATTTTTTTAACTTTGTAAACATATAAAATAACATAAATGATTCAATACATAATTGGTTATAACCAAACCTGAACAAATTTAAAAATATTAGTGTATAAGTAAATTTTTTAGCAATACTACGAATTGTAATTAAGTCCGATCAGATAATATAAAAATGCTGTTTTTTCGGACTTTATATGGCAACAATTAGTATAGTCTTACCAATAAGAAAAATTACAGTGTTGCCAGTAAAATAAATTCCATGCAATATTTCTATTTCTCTGATCGGGCTTTAGGGTTTAAGTGTAATATTAAGTAAAAAAAAATATATTTATAAGAATAAATGTTGTGATCGTCTATCCGTCCGTACATTGTGCAATGTCTTAAAGAGTGCCTCTAATTTATATAAGGGTTATACCTATTTATTATTTAAAAAAAAAATGTGACTAAAAGAAACGAAACTGCCTTTGTACAGTATACTTTTTAATGAAATTAAAAACAAATGAATTCTTAAATAGTGATTTTATTTTTGTAAAAAAAAACTGTATAATAGAAAGAAATATATTTTACACAAAAGTGACCCTCCTTCAACTTGCTTTCCTTTATATCCCTCATCCTTTCAGATACGTAATATAACAAATGTAGGGGGAGGATTGTTAGTAATAGGGATTAGTAGCCCCATTGCTAGCAATATACCTACTATATCAGGTCGACCTCCTCGTGGTTCCCCCTGGAAGCCATCGTGGTTAATTTATTGTTAGATTACGGTGGGCTAACTGACCTGCTTCATCCTCACCTGTCATCCCTCACTGGTGTCCCACCAGTGTATACGGATAGCGCAAGCGGGGTTACCATTCCATTATCACCCATTAAAAAAAATCATGCAGGCAAAGTCGCAGATAAAATATAGTCATTACATAACAAAGTAACTATAGGTTCCTATTGTTTGTGTTGGAAACTCCAACAAAACTTTTCACTGGCATAAAAACTTTTTATTATATTTTTTATTACAATTAAAAATATATCAGTTGTCATGAGTGGGAGAACGAATAAAATTGTATTTATAATGTATATTTGGCTGTTTAAATATTTAAATCCATGTATCAAGACTGAGTTCAATACTGTTTGCAAGCCCTGACAAAAAGGACGCGAGTTGGACGTGAATCGACAGCGCACTAAAGAAAGTATTAAATCATCATCATCATCATATCAGCCTTTAACTGTCCACTGCTGGGGGAAAGGGATTGTTAGTAATGGAGACTGAGAATTCCATTGCTAGCAATATACCCAACCAGGTCGACCTCCTCGCGGTTCTCCCTGGAAACTATCATGGTTAATTCCTAATGAATTCATCATGATGGGCTAATTGATCTGTTTTCATTCTCATCTATCACCCTTCACTGGTGCTACGCCAGGGTATCCTGTTAACGCAGGCGGGGTTACCATACCATTTTCACCCATAAAAAAAACTGTCCACCGCTGATGATAAGCCTCCCTCTTTGAGTTACCACTTTTTTTCTATGCAACTTACGCTGAAGATAAGCCTCCCTCTTTGAGTTACCACTTTTTTTCTATGCAACTTAGAATTGTAAACAAGCCGACGACTCACCTGATGGAAAGTGGTAACCGTCGTCTATAGACATGAGCAGTACCATGGACATAACAGATATCGCCCATGATACCCCCATTCGTTGCCATACCTGAGGACTCTGGTGTTATTCCTCTGTGCCTTGTAAATTTACTGCCATATCCCACTCTTCAAACCGAAACACAACCATGCAAACAACAGCTTCACGGTAAGAACACGAATGAGACATAGATACCCAAGCAAACGAGTTTTGTATTAATGAACGGGTATCAAATCTATGTAGATAAATTTATGCATGAAGAGAACTGTAGAAGAAGACAGTTCAGAGGGCCAACCATGAAATTAAATTCCGAAGTTTCGGACTCAATTGTGTGTTTTCGTTCATACCTAATTCGGGCCAGTAAACGTAGCTTAACATTTCGTTCGTCATAGATTCTACCATAAAAGTCCAAAGGAATAATATATTCATAATTTTAATGTTTTTAAACGGTAAGTATTATGTAATTTTAACATCAAATTTGTGTTTCATTCGGCTCCGAAATTTCGTAAAACATTTCATGGTAGGCCCTTAGTTTTCACACCGACACACTTCAGGCAGTTTCCGCGCAATATAGGGTGATGCACAAACGGGACCGCAAACCCGTTGCGCTTCGAAGCTACCCAGAGGCACTAATCTACCGGGGTCGGTCATGAGATCCACTACGTAGTTGACACGGAGCAGGCCCGCTGGGTAATTCTCCTCTGTGTCTTCTGTACCTCCCTAGTATAAAACACGGGAAAGTGACAATGGTATAATGAGCATTTTAGTACTGTTTTATAATAATACTAGCTTTTACCCGCGACTTTACTTTTTATCTCCGTCACGTGGACATATCCACGAGATTATATAAATATAATGTCTCTATATTAATGTTTCGAGAAAAACAGATCAACTTTTTCATACAATTTTGCGTGATAAATAGTTATGAATGATTCCTTTACAACTTCTATATTTATTTTGTACTAGCGGGCCCGTCCCGGCTTCGCATGAACATTTTTACATTTTAAAAAGTGGCCATTAAGGCTGCATACGCGACGGAAGCTTAAAAATGGAGTAACTTCTCCCGTTTTCCCAACATTTTCCTTCACTGCTCTGCTCCTATTGATCGTAGCGCGATGAAAAGTACACTATAACCTGCCTAGGAGTATGAAGATAATTGTACCAAATTTCGATAAAATCCGTCGAGTAGTTTTTGTTTCTATAACGAACATACAGACAGACAGACAAAAATTTTACTGATTGCATTTTTGGCATCAGTATCGATCACTAATCACCCCCTGATAGTTATTTTGTAAATATATTTCATGTACAGAATTGACCTCTCTACAGATTTATTATAAGAATAGATTAAAGTATAATTTCTGCATCTTTTCAATGCGTAAACACTCATTTTATTTATTACGTTTTTACCAATTATAAGTCAAGATACATTTTATGCGTGAATACATAGAATACTGATAAAAAAAAACGAGTCAGCTAATTTGAGAATTAGCTGACAGGGAAGTTGACCCGTTTTTTGGGCTCGATGCTCTATCTATATAATATGTATATGTAAAATAGGAATCAATTATTAATACAACTCGACTTATATCCTGTAAATAAATATGTATATTTGTATAAAAATAACAAATATAAATATAATAATATAATATAAAACAGTAATACATAATACTCATAGATACTACTTAATTGTATATATATATATATATATATATATATATATATATATATATATATATATATATTAATATTAAGTCTTTCGCTAGAAAGTCATTTAGCCTTAAAAAGTTAGTATAGCTACACACCGGACACGGTGCTGGCACTGCGACCTCGCACCACGCATGCGCACTGCTCGCCCTATGCAGCGCGCACGGCAGCCCCACGCGGTCGGCCAACACTTTGTACAGCAGCGCGCGTTCCAGGCCGCCCCCGCACCGCACCCAGCCGAGTCCTATCACCTTCGAGTTTAGCTCCATCTGATGGCGTATTTACACAATATTTGTAATAAACGTTATAGGCAATAAATTAAATATTTGCATGCCTACATCTTTCAATGACAGGTGCCAAAATAATACCACGTAGCTTGTTATAATTTTAAACTGTTTAATGCAAATAAACTCATTTAATTTCATTTCAATAATGAAAGAGATTCAACCGAATCGAGAATCTTCTCCTAAAAATTCTTTTTAAATTCGGTCGACTAGTGGCACGGAGGAAAGGGATTGTTAGTAATGGGGTCAAATAGCCCCATTACTAGAAATATACCCTGTAAGGTCGACCTCCACGTGGTTCCCCCTTGGAAACCGTCGTGGCTCATTTTAGTTGAATTCGTCAGGATGGGCTAACTGATCTCCTTTCATCCTCATCAGTCATCTATCACTGGTGCCCCGTCAGTGTATACCGACAGCGCAGATGGGGTTACCATACCATTATCACCCATTAAAAAAATTGGCACACTATAACTTAAAGGCTTGCCATCAGATGGACCGTACTCTTATTTGCCACTTCAATAATATAATTTAATATTGATATAAAAAACACAACATCAGTACATATATGATACCCATGAAGGCATAGATACACACAGGCACGAACGCATAGATCCTAAAATAATAGTTTTTAGAAAATTTGTCTGTCTATAAGTTTACTTCGGCATCATTCGAAAACTACGGCATCAAATTGGATACGGATTTCCCAGTTCTGACTTAAAATCATTATACATCCCGAAAAAATATATGAGTATTTCATTAATTTATCTACTTCTGGATTCCGAATGAAATCTGGAGTATGAAGTAGCGGACAAAAAGCTAATTGCATAACACAATTTTTTTTTTAAATATTCCAATTAAATCACCATCAAATCTGCCAAATGCAAATCAACACTTGGCATAGAACAGTCGCGCTCCTCAGTCAAACCGGACATTTGTTCCACCACAAATTCAGCTAGCAATTGAGCTCTCTGTTTCAACGAAGACGATACTTCTTGGCATTTGTCGCGGTATCTGTAACATAATATATATTTGTTCCGTTTTTAACCATTCGTTAGGTTTCGTAGGTAACCGTCGCCTAAATAGTCGGCAAAATCCTCCAATAAAGGGAGGCCTATATTCAGCAGTCTATTGTGGAATGCTCTCGCTCGGCTGTGAACAGAAGTTGATGGAGACATATTGCGAGGACCTCAATCGCGAAGGAGAGCCTCATCGACGATCCACTGCCATTGTAGAAACCACGACCACTCTGTCAAGAGTGTACGACTGAAGAGAGAGATGTTCTGCAGTGGAGAATTAATAGCTAATATGATATAGTATGAAGCAATAAAACATAGATACCAATACTAACGGATCACCAAACCAAATGCGTAGCTTTAATATATACGCGCGCAAATTCGCGTCATCTGGCAGCTGAGGCAGGTGTAGGCGACCAGACTGAGACGTCGCTAGCTTCGACTCTGTTGATGATCGATCTATGGCATAAAAATATTATTTATTTAGATACCCTATCTAATATGATTCCAATTTTGTGCTGTCCTCCTGGGTAGGTGGAGGAAATAATCTATACTTATAATAAATCTGTAGAGAAATCAATTCTGTACATGAAATATATTTCCAAAATAACTATCAGGGGGTGATAAGTTATCGATACTGATGCCAAAAATGCCATCGGTAAAATTTTGTCTGTATGTTCGTTATAGAAACAAAAACTACTCGACGGATTTTAACGAAACTTAGTACAATTATTCTTCATACTCCTGGGCAGGTTATAGTATACCTTTTATCACGCTACGATCAATAGGAGCAGAGTAGTGAAGGGAAATGTTGGGAAAACGGGAGAAGTTACTCTATTTTTTAAACTTCCGTCGCGTGTGCAGCCTTGATGGCTACTTTTTAAAATGTAAAAATGTCCACCCGTGCGACGCCAGGACGGGCCGCTAGTAAACAATAATATGTCACAATGCGACTCACACGACCACCCGCCCGGATGTCACCCAGAGGAGTGACTGGAGCGGGGAGCTTGCGGTCTAAACTTTAATGAGTATATCACATCTATGTCACTTCGTAATGTCAACGATAAAAATAATTAGAATCAAACAACCAGCTATATCGTTAGTTCATTAGAATTATTTTGTTTAATTCCGCTATCATTGGTATGTGTGTGATTGTCAACACCCTTCACGATTGGGGGGAAAGGGATTGTTAGCAATGGAGTTTGACAGCTCCAGTGCTAGCAACAGCCTATTAGGTCGACCTCCACGTGGTTCCCCCTGGAAACCATCGTGAACAATTCTTGTTGAATTCGTCACGATGGGCTAACTGACCTGCTTCATCCTCACCTATCATCCTTCACTGGTGCCCCGCCGGTGTATACCGATTGCGCGGGGTACCATTATCCACCATTATTACCCACTAAACAAACCTTTCAATTCTTCAAGATTCACCCCAATCAATACTACCAGAATTACTACTAATCTTAAATCTCAGACTTTCATTTCCTCCACGTACGTTTTGCTACGTGTTTCACCTCTAAAAGAGAATACTTCAAAACAAATTATTAGAACGCTGCTTGGAACCTAGTGTTAACTGTTCGGTACCTAAACTGCGAATGACTAATTTTCGGTCGTGTCACCGTATTTATATCCTTTTAGTAGATCGATAATAAAATAGATAATGAAATGATTATAAGCTAAAATGTGCGATCATGCAGATCATCTTCGTTCATCATTATTTCATTTTCATCCCTTAAAATAACAACAATCCATTTTCTCTCCGGTAATCTATTTTACACCAATATTTCTACCAGTGGCATTAAAATGGCCACTTTAATTGTACTATTCTAATGGAGAATATGCGATATTCTCCAATCCAATATTGAAGAATCTCAGAAATAACATTCATTACTGACACTCCGTGTGTACCCCAGCATAGAATGAACCACCTTTTCCTTTCCCGTGGGTGTCGTATAAGGCGATTAAGGGAGGGCTAGGAATGGGCAGCAGTGTCTCTCTTAAAATATCTCTAAAAGACAAATTGCGGTTGCCAACCCGCTTGCCACGCATGGCAACTACTGGCAAAACTTCCTTTATAGGGATGCTCTTATATTCAGCAGTGGACAGTTAACCCTAGAAAGATACTCTACGTCCGCGAGACGTACGCAGTCGTTAAATATTGTTATTTCTTTTTATCTACAATAAGCAGCGCACTGTCCGTCTTAGTCAACTCAGTTGACTGTCGGAGCTAACGTTGGATGGTTATGTCGCAGCGGTAAGTGATGTTGGTACCTAGATACAGGTATGTCGTACGTCCACGAGACGTATGATTATCTTTTGTGTGACTTTCGCGAGATTGATATTTTTTTTTGTTTATATGTTTGAATGTATATTTTTTTATATTTAAGGTACATGTAATATAGCCATAAAATGATTAGTCAGAGAGTACTCGTATTAAATGAGGAGGAGATTGTGCAATTTTTGATGGGAAATGATGATGATTCTGCCCAAGAAAGTGATAGTGAAGTGGAAAATCAACTGTTCGAAGATGATGTACAAAGTTATACAGAAGACGAGTTGGTCGATGAAGCTGTCAAAGCTACAGATAACCCTTCTAACCAAGTGGAGTCTGTTCAATCGGCATGGTCTACTATCAATATAATTCTCTCGTTGAACACTCGCATAATTACCCCGCCTCAGCAAACGCTTTGAGGGAAACATAGGTACTGTTGGTCCACTGTCATAGGAATAAGTCATGGAAGGACGTTTTTTTAATGGATAATAATGGAATGGTAACCCCGCCTGCGCTAACGGTATACGCTGGCGGGGTACCAGTGAGAGATGATAGGTGAGTATGAAAAAAAAGGCAGGTCAGTTAGCCCATCGTAATGAATACACTTGGAATTCAGCACGATGGTTTCCAGGGGGAACCACGTGGAGGTCGACCTGCTTGGGTATATTGCTAGCAATAAGGCCTTTAGTTTCCATTACTAACAATCCCTTCCCCCCTACGGAAGGACGTTAGCAATAAATATTATTCGATCAGCTAGGGGACGACTAATAGATGGCCAATGACGATATTTTATGGCATGCTAAATATATCGTTTGTTAACTCATATATCATATATTGTCATAATGTACTCATCAAGAATGAAAAGCCATTAAACAGGACAGACTTCATGAAGAAATTGAGCACTGAGCTAATTTCAGCTTGGATGAAAAAAGATTGGAAGTTTTGACCTTGAAAAGGTACTTACGCCACAATATTAAAGAACTGCTACCAGAAAATAGACTGGATAATAACTCGGAAAGAAAGGAAGAGCCTGCAGCAAAAAAAGAAAAAAAATGGTTTATACTATCCTTCAAGAATATAAAAAATGTCCAAAATGGAGTGTGTTCTTTGCCAAAAGTCTGTTTGTAGTATTCACAAAAAAGACGTGTGTTATAAATGTACTTAAATTATAAGAGATGATTGTTCCTGTTATATTAAAGACTGTTTAGCATTTATACCCTCAAAAAGTGCCATTATATTTGTAATTGAAGACTGATAGTCACATAGAAACTTCATATTAAAAAAGTTTAATTATATTTTGTGTACTTTTAAGAGAGTTTTATGTTTATTGTTTTTTCTTTTAATTAATGAATATAATAACTTAATAAATGTTTTATTACTTAGTACAATACTTAAACTAATATGTAAGACCCTATAAACAATCAATAAATGCATATATATTAAAATATATGTTAATAACTAGGCGTACGTCTCTGAGACGTATGATTATCTTTACCGCCATACCAAATATGATTATCTTTCTAGGGTTAACGGCTGAATTATTAATAATGTAACTGACACGGAGTTCGTATATTCAATCCGGAGGTGGCGTCAAACCCGGGCTGGTTGAACATGCATATGAACACAGGATGCCGATGTGGTGGCTTCTCAGTCATGATCTCTTCGATTGTCGGGAACCTGTCGCCTAATCGCTTCTGAACGTAGAATCCTTCCTACGACGTGAACAGCACTGTTGTTAAAGACTATAGGTATGCATAATTACAACAATAATAACATATGAGCATATAAAATAGAGATAATGTCTCGAATATTTGAAAGTGTTCCAGATACCAGGTACCAGAAGGAGATCCTATACAAAAGTCGATTGCTCTCTGGTACCTCTGTCCCATTCGTGTTTCAACCGTGAAGCAGTTGTGTTTGCATAGCTGTGTTTTGGTTTGAAGGGTGAGATATGGCGTGAATTTACTGGGTACAGAGGAATAACACCTGAGTCCTCAGGAATGGCAACGCATGGGGGTATCATGGGCGAAACAGTATACTCTGTTATGTCCATGGTACTGTTCATGTCTATAGGCGACGGTTACCACTTTCCATTAGGTGTGCCGTCAGCTTGTTTGCCATTCTAAGTTGTATAAAATATATATTATATTATACACTCCTCGCAAAAATTAAGGGAACATAAAAATTTTTGAAATTTTTGGGTGATTTTCAACAGGCTGTATTTCAGTGAAAAATAATCGTACAGGAAATTTAAAAAAAGGGTTTTGAAGCTTGAAAACTCTAGTTTTCAGATTTTTTGGTGAAAAATTTTTTGAGCTCCGGTTTCCATGCAATTCTTAAACAAAGCTGAAAATAATTTTTTTCTAAATTTTCTAGGTTTTGTTTTTCACTCTATGGGCATGGAAAAATTTTTTCGAGCTACTCCATTGTATAGGTCTCTTAGCGTGTTTATTCAGCTTCAAAAATCGCTTTGGATGGCTCAATTACGACCATTTGTCTCCGAGATATCGAACTTTGAATGCAAAAGCATCCTTTTCCATTCAACTGCTAATATCTCTGGAACTACTGGTCGCACAGCAAGCGGGCGCCGAGTTTCTTTATTTGCATAAAATTTCCAATTAAGCACAGTCAAGAGTTAGTGAAGAAAAAATTTTTTTCCACCTCTAACATTGAATTGAAAAAAGTGGAAAAAAGTGACTTTTTCTCCTTTTTTGGTTACTTGGCTGTATCTTCGCTAATATGGGCGGGAAAGCTAAGGTTTGAAGAAAATTTTACAGTCTATTGTTCCTTAAAGAACCCCCTAAATCCCTGGAGCGATCGGTTCAACGGTTTTTCCCGGACCAATTGATTGAAATTTTGGAAAAAATAAGGGAACAAGGTTTTTGTCCCTTAAACTCACCCTAATCCATTCAAAAATCAATAATTTCATTTGTTTTTCACTTTTTACTCAATTTTTTGTTTTTTAAAAATTCATTATCAAAAAAAATATCGAAAAAAATCAAGAAAATTTTTAAGAAAAAATTTGAAAAGTCGAAGAAAGTTTACAAAAAATTTTTTTTTCGTTTTTAAGGAAATCAAAGTTTTTGACAAAAACTTTGATTGATGATCGATTTACCGCCGGCATTAGCGTTACCCAAAGCATACCACGTGGAGAAACACACACACACACACTTTAGAAAATGAGTTTGGAGTCACGAAATACTGCGGAGCTGACGAACCACAGGGTCTCATTTTTTCTGAAGAATCCCATATCATAAACACGTGCGTAAGCACAAAAGAAGCGTAAATCCGACCGTGCAACCTCATATATATATATATATATATATATATATATATATATATATATATATATATATATATATATATATATATATATATATATATTACATTTAAGAAACAGTCTCATAAAAAGGCTCTGAAGAAGAAAGGCCGAAATGTTCTAAAATTATGTACATTCAACTTTCGTTCGATAAATAAATAAAATATAAAAACAGCCAATTTCAGTAAACGCTACCATTTGCAAAAATAATCAAAATCAGTTAAAATTATTTTAGCATCTGAAGATATCACATAACATATACACAAACAATAAAGACAAATTGAAAAAAGCGGAGGGTCTTTCTGAAGTCACTTGAAAATTATTAGTTTGCAGTGGTCATACGATATATTTTTACATTGAAAGATTTATTCTATTTATTATCTTATCATCACAAACGTAGACATCAATGTAAATATAGTATATATTCTTAGTTTATATAAATAGTTTTATATATATATACACATACATGTACAGTATATATTAGTATTTAGTAAGTACTCGTAAAAAAGTAGTCTCGCATAAAATGGGCCATCCCTTTCTTTCCAGTGGATGTCGTTAGAAGCAACTAGGGAAACCTAATGGTTGAGGGGTAAGCAACGACGTCCCTCTTAAAACATCACCAAAACCTAGCTGCTGTTGCCAACCCGACTGAAAAGCATGCTAACTACTGCCAAAACCCCTTGGGATATAGGCCCCTGAATATTGGCCATATTCAGCAGTAGACAACGGCTGATATGATGAAGTAAGAAAGATCTATGTCCAATAATTAAATTACTTCTTATTTTACCTGTGTAAAGTCGTTGATATCCAATTTTCCGGTATATGCAAGCTTTGCAGACGGATGATGTCGGAATATGGCCTCTAAGGCCGGCTCCCAAGCTCCAACGACATATCTGGCAAGCTTATTTTCTGCCATGCTGCAATGTATTTTTGAATAAGTACATCATTATTTATTGTTTCTGTGTGCGTGTGTGTGCGTGCGTGCGTGCGTGCGTGTATGTGTGGCTGTGTGTGTGTGCGCGCGCGCGTATTAGTACTATTGGTTTACATCAAACCTATCCCGACACTTAATGCAATCAATAGTTGTTAACCCTAATCCATAATTGTATGTCATTTTTTTATTGTTACATCAAGATAAACAGAACAAAGTTTAAACTTTTGATCTTTTCTTTAATATATTTTCTGCAAATTTGCAATTTTAAACGTATAAATTGTTAACTCTTTTGATTTATAATATATAATCCTCACTAATACAAATTACGCCCACGCACACACACGCACGAACGCACGCACGCACGCACGAAAAATGCCCATAATGTTTTCCATGACTCAAACTCACTAATGTATAGTCCCCAGGTCCAAATAGACATCAGCGCCCTCGTCGGTGACGCTGCATATGATCAATGAACAGAGAGCCGTCCTGAGGCCGATATGCTCTATCCTAAGGTTTTTTGACACCACCTGCAAATCATCATCCATGACTTGGATATTTATAGGGGTCCAAACGATTGAAAGCTCGGGTACCTGCGTAAATAGGTAGATATGCTCAAAGATTTTTTATGGAACATGTAAAGACAAGCAAGCTGACGGCCTGCTTGATGGGAAGTGGTACCCGTCGCCTTTAGATATCAATAGCACCATGGGTACTATGGGTACTAAGTTATTTTTTTCTATTAAGTGAAGATGAAATTGTATTCCCGCCTGCACTATCGGTATACGCTGGCACTAGTGAAAGATGATAGGTGAAGATGAAAGAAGACCAGTTGGCCCATCGTGACCAATTTATCAATAATTAAGCACGATAGTTTCTAGGAGAAACCGCGTGGAAGTCAACCTGTTTCTTACTTTTTACAACTTTGTACAACTTCTGAGAAAGGATTAGAAGATCTAAGTACTACATTCCTACTCATATTTCTATTATTAAACAGCTATGATTATTTAGATGTGAAGGTGGAACTGAAATGAATGTACAAGGATCGGAGGCATAACACCTTAACCCTCGGGGATGCCAACGCATGAGTGACGTCACAATAGGTTCTTCATTCTAAGTTGTAAAACAAAATAAAAAGTCAACTGACCATACAAATAGAGATCTCTATAGGGTCAAAACCCACCATTTCTCCTCTTCCTTGTGTAAACAGTTCCCGCGCCACTTCCTCCACCATCAAGCCGTTGAGAACAGTACACGTCATGATTTTCAAATTTATATCAATGCGCTACAAATAATATCATCAAGTGAATATGGTTTATTATTTCAGGACAGTTTTGTAGTCACAATAATACATTACTGCAACGGCCAGCAACTGAAGCATTGATGGATGAACGTGCAAATGTGGGCCGAGGCGTTGCCGAGGCACGCATACGTGAGTTCATCAATGCCTAGTTGTGGCCAAGGCTTGTATAGTACTTTTCTCAAACAATGCGCGGAAATCAAAAACACAATGACGAATGTTCCTTTGTTTTTTTTTTTTTCAATAAATAGCTTTCTATTTGCAAACCAGTTCGAAATTTAAATAAAACCTTTTATTAGTTACCTCCTTGGTAGCCATGTTTCGAAGTAAAAGGTCATTCCATTTTTAAATAACAGGACAGATATGAGTTTATATAGTAATTTATTTGGCCGCAAAACACGACAGATATGGATTTTCATACAACTTTTGCCGGCCGCTGCTCGCATATATCTGCCCAGTACGGCAAGTTTGACTTATCTCGAAGAAGATTGTCAAAATAATGCTCACATTTCAAGCATGTTTGAGAAATAACTATTTTGCAGATACTGCCGTTATTCCTCTGAGGCTCTACTATAAAATGAAATTGCAGATTTTTTTAAACACAATTTCGTGTTTTTGTTCATACCGAAATAGGACCAGTAAATAAAGCTTAACAACATTTCGTGCACCACAAATCCTACCATAAGAGTTCAAAGCAACGATATTTTAATATTTTATACGTATATATTAAGTATATTTAACATTAAATTTTTGTTTGAATCGTTTGACTCCGTAATTTCGGATAATATTACATGGTAGGCAGGTTGTCGTTTGTTTGATATGGTGACGGGCTAAGAAATATAGCAAGAATATGTATAATTCCTTCTAATCTCTAGGATATTGCAAGAGACAACTAAGGGAAGAAAGCACAACGCAGTGGAAACCTCGAAATTAAACTCTGTACCAAAGCGCACTGACCGGCGTAGAAATAGAATGAAATTTATGCCATGCCAATATAGAAACAAAACGGTTTTTACTGTCTAATAAAATTATATAGGTACATGCGTCAGGGTGTCCTTCTTTAGAAATCTGTTCGATTCCAGAATAAGGGCATACAGGTATGCGACCCCGGCCTCCCGGGCCGCTGCAGTGTCCCAGTCCTTACCGCAACTGCAGAGTCCCCCCCCCTCCTTTCCTTTCCCACATAAGTTTTTTATGCAACTTAAAATGGCAAACAAGCTGACGGTCCACCTGATGGAAAGTAATAACCGACGCCTATAGTCATGAGTAGTACTATGGACATAGCAGAGTATACTGTTTCCCCTTTCTTAGTCCTAAGTCCCTTATTCCTCTTATTTACCAATTTCCTTTACGCATTTCTAACGTTCACTTCCTTTTTTCCTCAATCCTTTCCTACATAATGTAGGTGACGGAAACCAGCAACAAATGCATTCCTAAAGAAGGTTGACTTCGGGCACATGACCGGTCATATAACTATAAGCCTAATGTTTTTGTAATATGGATAAAAACATATTACGCCGACCCCAAATAATAATTGGGATAAGGTTAGAGAGATGATGAATTGTATAGGTACATTTTATTACCTGCAAAATATTTATTAATTCCTGTATAAAGTCCTGATTAAGCATAGCTCTTGTGCTGACGTGGTAATTTTGTAGATTAATGTAGCACTGTACAGCCAAACGTTGTGCCTCTATAGGCGTATCTTTGACTGTAAACAGTATGATATAAACGGTGAACACCATAACACCACCACCCCTACAAGAGTAGGAACTAACACTGGTCGGAAGGATAGTAATGAGGACCTACTAGGGTCCCTTAGTACTTAATGAGGCTACCTCATTACTGAGCATATAAAGGTTTGCCTTCTTGCAGTTCTCGATGGAAACATTTGTAGTCAATACCTGCCGTCATTCTCACCTTTTATCCCTCAGTAGTACACTCGCCAGAGTATATGGATTATGCAGGCAGGTATTATATTTATCTCAATATCGGCATATTTATCTCAAAAAAAGTACCTAATATTGATAGTGCAGGGGGATGGGATGAGATTGTTAGTATTGCAGACTACCATATCATCATATCAGCCATTATTTGCCCACTACTGACATAGACTTTCCCATAGACTGTCATAAGAAACGGTCCTAAACCACTTGCATCTACTGATTGCTTGCAATTCATTTAATGTCGTCTAAGTTAAGCGGGGGTTATTCTACATTGAATTTAGCCGTACGGGATCACCACTCAAGAATCGTTCGTCCCCACCGATTATCGGTTCTTCGAGCTATGTGACCAGCCCATTGTCACTTTAGCTTGCTTATTCTTCGGCCTATGTCGACCACTTTAGTTCTCTTGCGGAAACTCTCATTTCGGATTATGTCGCGCAAAGAAACTCCGAGTATAGCCCTCTTCATAGCTCGCTGAAAACTTGAAGCTTTAGCATACGAGCAATCAAGCAATTGCCCGGTTGTTCATTTCATTTACAATGAAGCCTAATTAAATTTATGTATAAGCATACAATTAAAAGTAAAGTAAAAAGCCGACACGGTATGTTATTACTTTATAAATAGGTTTTAAAGAGGTTATACTTTGTTAAAATTCGTAATAAATAGATCTTACATTTTTCATTAATATTTCGTAATGCAGCAAACGTCTTCCCTTCGACAAGACTGTATGCGGCTTTGGGTATAATACGGCATAACTCTGCTAAAGCTCTCAAGGAATTTATGCGAATATAGAACCAGACTGCGGCATCGTCACCCAAAATTGCTGTAAGAGTTAGTATATATTTAATTCTTAAGTATATATGTATGTTTCCATATAAATACGTAGATAGATTTCTGTATACCATAAATGGTAACATACTAATTCCTGCCAATCGTAAAACGTTACCACACTCTATAGAAAACAACATGATGATTCCTATTACCGATCGTAGAGAAAACTTATTGAAACTCATGCTGTAGTTTTAGAGAAAATCTTCAATGGAAGTAAATTGTTCTTAGAGATTATGGTTGTAAACATTAATAAGTTTTTGACGAGAAAGGAAAAGGACCATTTGATGGAATGGGGTAAGCTTTACTTATAGGCATAAACAAACTGTAAAGATAATCCAAATTATACAGTGCTACCATACCTTACCACTCAAGTGAATCAAAGAATCATAGATATCATCTATTATATCTAATATTAAACTAGCTACCATTTTTAGAGTAGAAAATAATAAAGCACGCAATGATCTATATGCTAGAATCGAGTAAGATGCTAGCAAAGATACCTCAAAACAAATAACTGTTAATTTTTCCTAAATGCTATCTCAATCAATGAATGAGTATACTTTTTTTGCATTATGCAATATAGGGAATAAGCAAGACAATTAATTAATGTAACGATATAGTTGTATAAGTACAGTAAGGTGGTTTTATTGCTAAAAACAATCTTTTCAAGACAAATGTACAGTAAAAGACTAATTGGTGTACAATAAAGAATTAAAAAAGTAAAACATTAAACAAACTACAAGTACCTATTATAAAAAATTTAAAATATACTAAACAAATATTATTAAAGTTTTTACCACACAGTGCTTCTATAATGTTGGTATCAGACATGCGTACAGCAGCCGGCAGTAGTCTCGTCATGTTGGCAACGCCCATGGCTGCATCAGCGAGCAAATCCACATTGGAACTCAGGAGTTGATGGCAAAACACTAAATCTGTTCCAGTTTCGAAAAGTGCCTAAGGATAATACATAGTAAATATAAAGCCTGTTTAATACAGTATATGCATTGTAGGGTTCTTAAAAGTTTAACAAGATATTTTCAGCATAATAATTCATATGCAATGAAGTAAGGAAAGCGAGTAAAGAAAGAATAAAGTCGATCGTTTAGTTCTAGCTCAACCTTCATACAAAATGAAGCGCAATCTAAAAATCCAAAATGTATAAGCAATTGGATAGCTACTACTTTTCTTATGTATACGTGAAAAGCAAAAATGTGTTCAAACCTACCTATATGCGCATCTAACACAACAAGTTCACATATTTAATACTTACTCTAACATCTTCTGTCTGCTTAATGACTCTTCTAATACATTACGTTCATAAGCTTAGAATGTTACGATATCATAACAGAATCTTTAATAACTACAGTGACAATAGACAGGTAAATTATACTATCACAAGTCTATATAAATCGGTATTTTACTATGGTCTTCTCTATAGTAAACTTACGTCTCTTCCATTTGCAGTAAAAGACATTTTCGTGAGCACAGCAAGACAATGCGGCTTCATAGCTGGGAGCGCCATTTCCAAATATGCCAATAGCCTTAAGATACAACCGGACTTGTATAAATGTGCTGCGTTCTCTTCTATTTCGACGTAATTGCGTAAAACTCCTAAAACTTCGGTGTGGACGTCGCGAAATTCATATGACTGAAGAAAATACATGGGAAATAGGAGTTATTGAAAAAAAGCAAAATTCAAGTAAGAATTATATAAAAAATATGTTTATATCTTTATAAATAAAGTAGAAATTTTTTATTTTTGTGTGTTCGTGTATCTTGGACTACGAACAATTTCAGTGGGTCGTCAAACTTAAGTGATTTCATCCAAATTTTTTTTTTTTTCTATATATTGTATGTCAAGTAAGTAAAACAAATTATCCCTAATAAACTAAAAACTGTTGCAATAATAAAACTCGTGTTGAGAGTCGTATAAGTGTTTTTCGTATAAAATTACCTCGAGTATATCACAGAGATCTAGTACTCCAGTGGAAGCTCTGAAGGTTCTCTGCACTACTTGGTCCTTGTATCTACAGATCAACTGATCTACAGTTCTAAGAGCTGTGTGTTGAATAGCTAAATACTTGCTCTGCATCAGCACTAGGAGAGATGGCCAACTGAACTGATGATTCTTTGTTACTTCGGATGCACAAACTGGATCATCCAGCAAATTACTTAAAGTCTGGATATAATAAAATTATGTTAGTATCAGCTAATATTTTGACAGTTAAAAAACCAAATCCATATTAAGGAGTACAGAAAGAAAAGGGATAGGAAAATAGGAAAGATGTGTTCTTTAGAAAAACTATTACTAACGTTGTCAATATGGTTATGATTAAACTACCTGCAAGCAATTCTTCTGGACGTCAGGATCAAGACTATTCTTCATTCTTGAGAAAAGAGTGTTCAGAATATTAGCCGAGACCAGCTGCTCACAACCAAGTGGTTCTCTGGTCAGTTCAGACAAAACCAAAGACGCGAACTCAAGGACAAATATATCTTCTATCTGAAATAATTATATACCACCTACTTATAATAATAATGCTGTACACTTTACTAGACGAACAATTTTAAATGTAAAAAGTTCTTTTCAATCTACTTCAAAAAAGAAGTTTTCAATAAGGTTGTATTTTTTTTTTTTGGAAGCTCATAACTCCGTCAGTGATAAACCGTTTTGGAAAATTCTTATTTTATCTGAAAAGATATACTTAATTATAGGTTCGGTTTTAAAAAAATTAAATCAAAATAACTTGTTTTGCTACAATTGAAGTCGGTTTATTTTTGTAGAACACAACCTTATGTAAATATATAGTTTGTTTTAAGCAAATACCTTCACCAACATATACGCTATTTTCCTCAGATACTGAGGATTTGCAAGAACTTGTTCTGGACCACGTGGCAACTGGCAAAGCTGAGCTAAAGCCTTCAGCGCAAATCTTTTTATGTTCAGCTCAGGATGTTCCACGTGAGGTATTATGTAACGAATAGCATTCAAGTCGAACAATACATGACGGTTCTGCAGTTCTTGCGCAGAGAATTTTGTGATTGCTCGTAAAGTCTGTGAAATGACAAAAGAAAATAAAGATAGATAGAAATTTTATAAATACTTTGATGTAGATATTGTATAATTAAATACCTGGCATAATATTTCTGGTTCTGAAGACTCCAAAAGAAGTATCGAAGTATGAGCACTTTCAGGAGTGATTGTATAAGGATGAAAAGTGAAATCTTTTTTATCTGCAGATCTGTTATCTCTCTCTTTTTGCAAAGGTTTAGCCATAATTACAAATTGCAAACAAAGCAAACTATTAATTAAAAACAAATCAAACACTGACATTTATCACGTCAGTAGAAATACGCGATTTTTTTTTTAAGATAAAAAAAAAATGCAGTCAATTTCTTTCCCTTTTTTTTTAAAGTTTCTGATATCGAATGTATTGTTTGTGTAAATTTGTCTATTGAATTGATGTTAATAATTATTTCTTAATTAGATCCTTAAGTGTTTTTGTTTTAGTAATCACCTCTTTTTAATTACGATATTTAATTTTCATGATAATTGTTTATTCGGTTCAAAATTTTGTTCTGAAAGTATTTATTCGAAACTACAAGTCATTTAATGTAAAAAATATATATGTATAATTAAATTGACATATCAATGTTTGATACATTCTAGTACTCTTCATCTACTAGTAAAGATGGTTATTGTCTACCGTTTGATTTATAAGTAGTTTATTTTATGATGATGCCTACAAAAAACTTTTTTGTGCGATCTATAGGAGGTGTAGCTAGAAAATTTAGGGCTTTACAAGAGATATGGATTTTGCCATGGTGGGGTAGTGGAGGACTGGCCAATGCACCATTCTGGGCTTTAGATACTTTGGTACTGGTCGTGAAATTATGTTCCACTTGTGCCGTAGCGCTGGTAAGAATATTGATACCACCAATTATGAAGAGTTTACATGGAGAAACCGTACTGGTTAGTAAATTTAAGAGCCAACTTCAAGTTAAGTTTATTGTTTCATTCTAATGGTTTAAAACGAAATTTCGATAAACTTACCCATACAAGCCGCTTTAGAAAGTCATTCAAATATTTGACTAAGCTCAGAATAGTTAATGAACTCATAATTTGAAACACATTAACAAAATATTTTGAAAAAGAGTCTGATTGTGTGAAATATCTAAATTTTTTAATATCAATGATTCAAATTTCTATTATTTATCATCGAATTTCTTCATTATTTTTCATTGGAAAGATCTCATAAATAAGAACACATTTATAATATATTTTATCTTTCCTATTATTATTGTTATTAACTATCTTTGGCTTAGGAACTGAAGCCTCTCGCCTAACAATAAAAATTCTCAACTAAAATTTTACGTAGACTAGATAGGTACCTAGACTAGTAGCCATTAGTGTTTTTATAAGCCAGTGGAGCTTGAGGTAAAATAACTAGATACTTTCTCTTTGCATTCTATCTTGATCATATTCGGCTACAGAGACTGTTTCAGTATCTATATTAAAATTTAATAAATGTTTTAGATAACAGGAGCAGGTCATGGTGTAGGCAGGGAGCTGGCAATACAGTTGGCTGAACTTGGCGCTACTGTCGTGTGCTGGGACGTCGACGCTGCACGCAATAATGCTGTGATGGATGAAATTCGGAAGAAAGATGGCGAGGTAGTGATCTTCATAATCATCATCATATCAGTCTTTAACTGTGCATTGCTGAACATAAGCCTTTCCTTAGAGGGTTTTGCCAGTAGTTTCCTTACTTTACAGGCGGATTGACAACCGCAGTTAGGCTTTGGAGATATTTTAAGAGAGACGCTGCTGTCTATCCCTCTCCCTCTCTTAGTCGCCTCTTACGACACCCACAGGAAAAGAAGATGGTCTATTCTATGCCTGGATCACACGAATGTGATCTTAATTTAATATAATCATCTCATCTGACAGATATCCTGCCATGTATCTACTTAGAGTGCTAAATAAGCTAAATAACGATAAATTTGAAAGTGTTCTTCAAGCCGATGTCATGTAACCACAGCTGCTTGGAGGGAAAGGGATTGTTAGTAATGGAGTTTGACAGCCCCATTGCTAGCAATATGCCCTATTAGGTCGACCTCCACGTGGTTCCCCCTGGAAACCATCGTGAACAATTCTTGTTGAATTCGTCACGATGGGCTAACTGACCTACTTCATCTCCTCACCTATCATCTTTCACTGGTGCCCTGCCAGTGTATACCGATAGCGCGGGTAGGGTCACCATTCTATTATCATCCTTAAAAAAAAAAAACCACAGCTGCTTCTAGCTGAAAGGGATAGTGGCAATTATTCGAGTCAGGTTGACTTCTACTTGGTCCCCTGGAAACCATGACGATTAATTCCTAGCAAACCACGATAGGTCAAATGATCTGCATTTCGCCAGTGTATACCGGTAGCGCGGGCAGAGTTGCCATTTCTTTTTCATCTCATAAACCCAACTTTTTGACGGCATAAACTTCTTCACATTATGGCCGCTTGCCATCCTTATTATACAAAAAAGATAACTTATGATCATTACAGTGCATTGGCTACACGATTGATGTAACATCGCGTGATCAGGTCAGCACGTTAGCAGCTCGAATGCGCCGCCAGCTGATCGAAGTGTCGATGGTGATACTCAACGCCGGTGCACTGACCTACGCCCCAATTAACCACCTCCGACCTGATGGTATCACCAGAATAATTGAAGTGAATTTGTTGGCGCACTTTTGGGTTGGTCTACTCTCACTCCATCTCGGTCTCTCTCTCTACTTTTTATCCATTTTTTTTTTCGCACAACTCTTTACATTTTCTTACTACAAACAAAAAAAAAAATACTTTAGTGATGAACACACGTACACTGATGAATAACGGAATGAATGTATTTAAAAATATTTTAGTGCGTAATCTTGCATATGGGAATTCTATGTAATTTATTAATAAATTAAAAAACGATAAAAAATAAAATAATAAGTTAAGAAACAGTTTATTATTTGAATTTAGAAAACAAATTCGCGCGTATACATATAGATGTTTATTCACTTTAAGCAGTTTTTTTGCTTTGTCAAAAATACTATTTTCATGTAATTTATATTGGCAAACAAGCTGACGGCCCACCTGATGGCAAGTGGTACCTAACCATCGCTTATAGACATGAGCAGTACCATGGACATAACAGAGTATACTGTTTCGCCTATGATACCATCCCATGCATTGCCATTACTGTGTACTCGGGTGTTATTCCTCTGCACCCTGTAAATTAACTGCCATATCCCACCCTTCAAACCGAAACCACAGCACAGCACACCTATGCAAACACAACTGCTTCATGGGAGAAATACGAATGGGACCGAAGTACCCAAGCAAACTAACTTTTGTCCAAAGTTTTCCTCTAATACATCTACATTCTATCGATTTTCAGTGATACTGATCAATTCTTTTGAACAGGTAATCCAAGCATTTCTACCGAATATGATAGAGAGGCGGCACGGTCACATCGTTGCAATCAACTCGACTGCAGGATTGATGCCGTGTGCTGATGTAGTGCCATACTGCGCTGCCAAGTTTGGTCTACGAGGTAAGGTAGACTACACCTTTGTCATACAACACAAAGTACATATTGCTTTAACAATTTATTTTTTTCTTGTGTACAGTGCGATTATACTAAACTAGAATTCTTCTCTCGTGTGAAGAGAAACGTGCCCAGGAAAGGAAGGTACTTTATTTAATATGTAGAAATCATGTGTCACGATATTCGTTAACGTCACTCTTCGAAATTGCAATGTGGTCCCGGCATAGAATGGAACCCTTTCTTTCCCGTGGGTGTCGTAAGAGGCGACTAAGGGAACTTAATGGTTGAGCGATGGGCAGCAGCGTTCCTTTTAAAATATTGTAGCAATCACTCGATTACCGAGAGATCTCTGTAATCGAAAGAGCAGAGGCCGCCAGCGCCGCCTCCCAGCTCGATTCCATGATTGTATACTCTGGATTAGCGAATGAGTTGTCTCTGCCTTTTAATTACACTGTACTGTCTATAAGGTTTTTTGAGATTGTCCATATTTTTGTGTACTACAATGTTTGATACGATTTATATGGTTACCTCCAGTAAAAGTATATTCCCACAGTAAAAACGTTTTCTTTGGCCCGTAACCCCAAGAATTCACTATAATATCTCTAAAACCTGACTGCGGTTGCGAACCCGCCTGCCAAGCATGGCAATTACTGGCAAAGCCCCCCAATAGGGTGAGGCCTATGTTTAGCAGTGGACAGTTAACAGCTGATCTGATGACGATGAATCTTCGAAATAGCTCAACTGATTTCAATTAAATTTCGTAAATGTGTAGGGTGTGTTCCAACTTGAGAGAATAGGATAATTTTATCCCGATAAAGGAGCCACAGACAGTACCTACTCTATGTCGAGCTCTAATCCTGGAATGTGAAGCTGTGGCCCTTTAACGTTAAGAAATCCTCGAAACAGTGAGGTCGCTGCGTGAGGCCTGTGAAGATCTCAGGAAGCTTCTGTTTTTCTGGGCGGTGCTGTGCTGGCTATACTAGCCATGACTCCTACGCACAATGGCCCAAATGAGAGGCTTAACGTGGAAAATAGAGTTAAATTTACATTAGATTACATCCCGATAAAGGTCAAAGAATGTTTGCTGGTTCAGGTAGTTGATAATGCAGAATTAAGTATATGCAAACGGTTCGCTTGATGATAAACCCATGAAAACGACTCCCAACGCCTTACAGCATTAGTTACGCTGTGCTCTACGATCGTCCATGTTCTTAGGCCTGATGGAATCAATAACTGAAGAGTTGAGGCTAAATACCTGGACGAAGAATATCAACACGACGTCAGTATACTTGGCAACAGTAGCCACAGGTCTATATCCAATGCCGTGTCACCGTTTCACCTCGTGGTACTCCGAGGTGCCCGCCACCGAAGCTGCTAGACTTATCATAGATGGTATGCGGCTGTAGTGTATTTTTCAACCGACTTTACAAATTGGGAGATTCTATACGATTGTTATATATTCAGCAGTGGACAGGTAACGGCAGATATGATGATGATGACTAAATGGTTGAGTCTAACTGAGGTCTAACTGACCTGCTTCATCCTAACCTATCATCCTTCACTGGTACCCCGCCGGTGTATACCGATAGCGCGGGTAGGGTTACTATTCCATTATCACCCATTAAAAAAATATGAAGATAAATGGGAGTAAAAACTTATTAATTTTTTGTAATGTAATTTCTTAGATTCCTATATCGAGTTATTGTATGTTTGCCTTAAAATACAGGAATTCGCAAGAATCATAAAACAATATGCATACCATCCTTCATAAAGACACTCGTCGACATCCACAACCTTATGCCGTACAGAATAAGGATCATTTTCACTGATTTCTTCAACTTCGATCATAGAGGATGGTTTTGTTTTTGTTAATGCTTAATGTACAGTGCTTAATTTGTACGTACGATTTATATTAGTGGATTAGTCATATCTCTTCTATTGTTCAAAGAAAAAATTAATGGCATTTATTTACCTCTAATTTAATTAATTGTTGCCACAATTTTTAATTTTCCTTTCAATAGACGATATTTGTCTAAAAATAGCTATGCTTGCATCTGTTAACATAAAGCGTTAGATAAACAAGTTTACAATTGTTTGTTTTTAGTACTTATTGAAGTTTAGTTACTTATTAATTTTAAATAATAAATTAATATTAATAATGTTTTATTTTAATTAATTTTCCATTTTTACCTGATACATTTGACCTTTACACTGTATTAACATTTTGTATTGTTGTATATATATAAAAAACCTTTGGCGACCAGAAGACTGGCCTATATTTTGGAACATATAGAGATACCATAACTTTTCAGCATGGAAATGCAGCAAGCCCCTTAGGAAACCTATCAGTTGGCAGTGATCTTAGAAAAATCTTTTATCTTTATTAATTTGTTTTCTTTTTTATAGTGATACATATTAATCAGTATGTATATGTTTTTAAGTATATTAACAAGTAAACTTTACAATTACATATCTGTTAATGGGTGAATAAAGTAAAATAATATAGGTTGTATTGTAGAAAATAAAAACAGACATAATTTTTATTTTGTTAAACAAAAATGAGAAATAATTTTACATATTATAATATTAAAAAACAATCAACCCCAATCAAAATACAGTGCAATGATATTAAGAGTAACTTAAGATTTTTTTTCCTAAACACAAATCTTGAATGTGGTTACAATTAGTATAGCACCAACATAGGAATAAAACTTTTCAATAAAAAAACAAAATATCTGAATTGTTTCAAAATTTGCAAATATACAAAAGTAGGTTGAAATATTAGTATTATTAAAATCAACAAGTATTATAATTCACATAAAAAGACTTGGGCAAAACGCTAAAGTTATAGGACAAAATGTGTTTTGGTACATCAAATTTATTCCATATTGCTTTTACAAAAAGATGTCCTTGAACGTGAGAGCATGTGAACAAATATACCATTGTAATATGGGTTCGTAAACTAATAGAAAATTTATTAAACACATTTATGCATATTCAATTTAAAACTGTCAACATTTTGACCACATCGGTCGCACATCACCAAATTAACATGTTCACATGTATGTTGGTCTTTGGATTTAATATTACTAAATGTTTTACCACAAACCCTACATGCGGAGTCCTTTAATTTTTCATGTTGTAACGAATGTCGTGCCAACGTTACCCGCGTCGCAAAACTGCGACCGCATGATTCACACAGATGGCGCCTGGGTTCTGGGATGGCTGTGTGTTTTTGAACATGGAGGTATATCTCCTTGCGATCTGCTGATGTTAGCTTACAGACTTTACATCTGGAATAAAAACAAGATATTATTAATGAGCATAGATTGGGGTTCAGCTATATAGTTTGTAGAACTCCTGTTGTGTAATTGATTATTAGAGAATGCTATATATAAAGTAGACAGGCTAATTTTTTTTTCAAATACCTCACCTTATTGTTGTATATTTAATCCCTTTACAATACAATTGTATTCATGATACATATATTGTTAATTAGTTAGCTATGTAGGTCCTGGCGTAAAATAGGCCATCCCTTCCATTCCCATGAGTGTTGTTCTTACAACACTAATGGCGACTAAGGGAACTTATGTTCGAGGTATGGGCAGCAGCATCCTTTTTAAAACAGCACAGCAAGCCTAACTGCAGTTGCAGCCTGTCTGCCAAGCATGACAACTACTGGCAAAACCCCCCTTATGGGTGAAGCTATGTTCAGCAATGGACAGTTAACAGTTAGTTTTGGTCTGTTGTTTTCTTTGTATAACATATGTGAGTATTTACAAATAAAAATATATCTGTTGTCCAGTATCCATAGTACAAGTTCTGCTTATTTTAATACAAGATGGTATCAATAAAATACTGTTACCTATACAAGTCTCCTGTGTTATGTGTTTCTTTTTTATGTTTCGACAATGCTTCCGTACCGATGAATTTGTGACCGCAAATATCACAAATCCTCTCATCTGATTTTACAATATGCTCTTTTACATGCTTGTATAATTGAAACCTTTCATTGTATGTTTGTCCACACTGCTTACAACGATAAACACATCCCATAAAAGCTCCATAGTCAATTAGACATGTTTTATGGTGCAATAACAATTTTTCTTTACTTGAAAACTCTTTTCCACAGTTGCAAGTATGTGTAGCATTGTGCACAATAGAATGTTGAAACATTTTTTGTTTTGAATCAAACAATAAATTGCAATGTATACATGTGCGTGTGGCAGTATCACACACACTAACATGTTGTGACAGTTTGTGAACATTATCAAACTTTATTTTACAACCAAAGCATACAAACTGATTTTTATCTGTGCTCTTCATTTTACATTTTGGTTCAGTTTCTTTCATTAATATCTCTTTAACAATTTCCATGTCAGAATCTAAAACATCTATTTCCATTTTTACACAGTTCGATTTTGTTTCTTTTTTCTTAGGTGTCGGCATTTTTTTTTGTTTACCACTACAAGATTTGTTTGGTACATCCAACTCATTCACATTTCGATCAAGTAAATTCACTATAGATGGGATATCTTCCTTACCTAAGTTATTTAAATATTCTTCTATATTCGCTGTGTTGTTCAAGAATTCCAAAAGCGAATCGGAGTTGTACTCAGAGTCTGGGAGAGGCTGTAACTGAGTTTTCTCTGCTGGTTTTTTCGATTTCTCCTGGATAGACGTTTCCAACCAATCTTGAGAACAGCGTGCGTTCAATTGAAAGTTGTAGAAATCGCTCAGTTGAGATACACAACGCCGACAAATAACTTTAGGAAGTTCATCATTTTGAGAAATCGTTATATCAAGACAAGACCTGATGTGCAAGTAAATTGTAGGGTCGCCTAATACGGGTACGTGATCGGATTCAGAGTCTAAACATATTCGACAACATTTTCGGATGTCGTCAACCATTTTAAATTAAAATATGAAAAAAGTATTATAATAAAAAAAGTAAACAAAACAAACCAAAACAAAAAAATGCCGAAATTATAGATGACAGACAGTGACAGTTCACTGTTCAGTGTTTTCAACTTACTATCGAATTTTCCATCTAACCTAAAAGTAAGGGCTAAATTCAAGGAAAAATTTCATTAAATTTTATTAATGTTACTCTACACAAAATTCATAAAACACTGCTTAAATATTACTTGTTACTGGTAACAAGCTATATAAGTACTTATATATTCATGCGTAATAGATATACGTAGACATGTCTGAGAGTACATAATGGAGTTGATTCTGAGACGCCGTCTAAATTTATTTTTAAAATTAAAATGTCAGTTTGATATCACAGCGAAATGTTTATTTTAAAATACAATATAAATTAAATTTTTAAATAGATTTAAATAAAAACTATTATCAATTTAGTTTATAGTAATCCATAAAGCAATAATTTTGGAAAGTATCAAATTAAATGCTAATCACTGCAATAAGATGTGTAGAGAGACACAATGTCGCAACATTCACAAATCTGTCGAGAATGGTAATCTAGTTAAAATTTCAAAATTTCTCAAGGCTCTAGGGGTTTGTAAAAATTTCAATTCAAGGTCTAATTCTCTTAATCTCGATACATATGACATCAACAGGTATTTCTGCTGTCCTACTGTTTTTGATAACATCACCAAGAAAATCACATGAAATTATTTTACTATATATCAGTCTGACTACTCATCATTAATTTGTTGTGATGCTGAAAAGAGCCTTCTATCGATTATTTCCGACGCTATGGGTACCAATGGAGTTACTCGTACCATGATATTCCCTATTCTTGACATTATACTTCCAATTATGACTAACACTTACAACAATTAATTATCCTCTCTTTCTCCTTTCCTTTGGAAAGACGCCCACATTATTCCTCTTTCTAGAACGTAACCCATCAACTTTTTCAAAGGGAGGAACAGGGATCGAACGGTAGTCCGATCTCTGTCCCTCCCTTTCTTTCAAAAGCACTAGAATGACTCGTTCATGAACAACTTCTTAAATTCCTATTGAATCCTTTTCAATTGGATTTACGTCTTGCCCATGGTACAATTACTGCTTAAATTAAAATCACAGATGACATGTGCGTTTTTCTTTTTTTTATTAGTTACAGTTTTTATTACTTGTCTGTAAGAGATTGCTTTAATGACAAAACCGCCTTTTGTACTTTATAAGTGCAATACATATTTATCTTTGTATTATTATTTAAGTGTTGCAATAGAGTAAATAAATAAATAAAATATTATATAAAAAGTAATGGTGCATTAGAATTAATATTATTGTGCCTTTTTTTAAAAGGCTAGAGCTTTAGGAAAAATAATCTTAAATAAGGCAATGCAGTTAAAATCTTTGAACATTACATTTTTGAGCTAATTTGATTTTTACTAGATTTCTAATTACAGTTAAATAAAAATATATGAGTAATGAGTAATGAGAGTTAAATAAAAATAAATAACGTGCGAAAAGGGCTAAATTCAGCCTAAAAAGCTACAATTGTTATTAAATGGTCTAGTTGGCAACATTGTAATTGACTGACAAATTTAAACTGACATACCTTGAATGAGGAAAACCACAAACATGCCTTTGTTATGTTATTAAAAAGGTAGCACTACTCTATATTTACAAAACTGAAAAAAGGTCTATGCAATCATCCAGAAGTATTAACATAATAAAATTAAAGAACACTCATAGTAGTTCTCAATTATGTAAAAAAATATTTCACTTAAAATATTAATATCTAAAGCCTTTTCTACTTTATAGTAATAACTATTCAAATTGTATGAATTTACATATTTCTGGTTGCACAGAACCGGTACAGATTTTTTTATTAAAATAAAGTTGGTTTGTCTATAACTAAACGTGATTGACGTTTATATCAATCTATGACTATCAATCATTCCAGAATTTAAGGAAAGAAAATAAACAATGATCAATTATCCAGTATTAGAACTTGGTTAAAATAAAATAATTTTACAACTTTGAGGCAAGAAGATAGTGTGTTTATTGCTCAAATTAATTTTATCAAAAATGTCCCAAGAAGCAGATCCTCCAAGTATGGAGAGTCAAGAATCCTTATTGTATTCAGCAAGACACGGGGAGTTGTCTGTCGTAAAAGCATTATTACAGGCTTCCTCGGACGGAGAACTAACTTTGGATATCAATTGCAAAGGTATTTTGTGCCATTTTATTATCTGGAAAGCAGAAGTATTTAATTTTTATTAATATTGCGTCAAAACATTAAAGTTCTGGTTCTACTCTATAAATTCTTATATAAACAATTCCTCACGGCTATTTTACTTGCATTTTATTAGAAACCTGTCATTGAAATGTTACTACCGCGATAATAGAAGAATTAGTATTGTTAGTAATGGTGTTTAAAAGTTCCATTGTTAGTAATATACCAGAGACAACCTCCATGCATTTCCCCTAGTCAATATTGTTAATAATTTTATTAAAAATGACTTATATAGTCAGGGAGACGGTGGAAATAATAATGGGATCTAAGACTCCATTGCTAGCAATCAGAGATTCAGAATAGGTTGTTTTTTGTTGTTCCATGTGGTTCCTTCTGGAAACCATTGTGGTTAATTCGTGATAAATTTGTCATTATGACCACTGACCTAACTTCATCCTCACCTATCATCACTCACTGGTACCCCATCAGTGTATACCAACAGCTCAGGTCGGAATTATTTTTATCTCATGAAAATCCTAGTTTATTCTTATGAGAGTTTATCTATGTATGCACTTCTTATAAGAAAAATTTAATTAAAAACCTGATTCAATTGCATATAGGTAAAAGCAAAAGTAACTTAGGATGGACTCCTCTCCACCTAGCAACATACTTTGGCCATGTGGATGTTGTGGAAGCCTTATTAGAAGCTGGAGCCAATGTGGATGAAGTCAATGACACTGGTGATACTGCACTTCACAAGGCATCATTTATTGGAAATGAGGTAAATGAAAAAAAAATATTAAAATAATATTTATATTTATAAAGAAATAAATAAATATTCTTGTTAATATTTATATTGCCAAGAAGTAGGGTTTGCATGATAGTATACCAATTTGCAGATTGATATGGCAGCAATAAATAGGATATGACCTAAAATATGTGAATAAAGCTGATATAAAGAATTACAATTGAAAATAATTTCTACAGGAATTAGTAATTCTCCTACTCAAGCACAAAGCAGATGTTAACATCATGAATGGAGAGGGTAGAACTGCTTGTGATGTGTGTAAAACAAGAGATGTGCAGAGATTGCTTGAGGCAGCACAGAGGGTGGAGCGACAAGAGAGGGAACGGAGACTACTCACAGCTGCCAAAGAGGGACGGATTGACGATATACAAGAACTGGTGAGTAGATAGAAAAAGAAGATATATAAATTGGAAAGATTTTTATTATAGATTAAATGACCAACAGCACAAATTAATTATAGCTTTATTTTTAAATGGCTCCCATAATAGGGACAATGATGATTTTTTTAACAATATCAGGGTTAGAAAAGACAGTTTAATTTGTATTATGGCATTTTTCAAGAATATAGATAATTCATTCATAGTTGAGTTCTCTGGAAAGGAGCAAAACAAGAAATCATAATTTTGTAGTACTATGCAGTGACAGACTATATTTCAGTACCCTACATATTAATAGCATTTTAAATAAAATGTTATAAAAATGAGGGTAGTTTAAGAAAACAATGACACAGTATTATTGATATACAATATTTTTAATTACCACAGTTACATAAATTATAATTGATTTTAATATACAAAAATTTGCTTTATAAATCTACTAGATATTTATCACGATTTTTCAAAATCTTGATTAATTTTATTGATTGGAATAAAAACTTACCTACTGTTCAAGTGAAAGCAGACAATACATATTTCCTTGGGGGAAAGGGGTTGTTAGTATTGGGTTCTAACAGCCCCATTGCTAGCAATATACCCTATCAGGTAGATCTCCAAGCGGTTTTCCCTGAAAATCATCATGGTTCATTGTCAAATTCTTCACGATGGGCCGACTGACCTTCCTTCTTCCTCAACTATTATCTATCACTGATGCTCGGCCAGTGTATACCAATAGTGTAGGTCACGATTTCATTACATACATTAAAAAAAATACATATTTATTAAAATTAGTTGAGCGGTTTTGGGGGTTAAATAAATAAGTAACATTTTGTAGATAGGATAGGATTTGTAGATAGGATAGGACAAGAGGGAGATTTTGTACAAAAGTCGTTTGCTTAGGTACTTTTGTCTTATTCGTGTTTTAATCGTAAAGCAGTTGTGTGTGCGTGGCTGTGTTTCGGTTTGAAGAGTGGGATATAGCAGTGAATTTACAGGGTACTGAGTTATAAGGACCTCAGGAATAGCAACACATGGGAGGGTATCATGGGCAAAACAGTATACTCTGTTATGTCCATGATACTGCTCGTGTCTATAGGCGACAGTTACCACTTTCCATCAGGTGGGCCCTCAGCTTGTTTGCCATTCTGAGTTGTATAAAAAAAAATACACTACTGCATATCACGAGACAATGTCTGGTAGGCGTAGGTAACCACCTACCACACCAATATTATATCCTGGCTTCCTTTGGGCATTGATGAATAAAAGAAAAAACATTACATATTTTGATGTTGCCCATATCACTCGTCAGCTTGTTTGCCATTCTAAGTTGTATAAAAAAAAAACAGTACGATATCTGATGGTACCAGTATGATATAGAGAACTCTTGTAAGAGCTAAGCTCGCCTGTCATACGTCTTTATTTATTATATATGTTTGTAATTTTTTGTGTACAATAAAGTATTAATAAATAAATAAATATCTGTATTAATTTGAATCGGGTTCTTTATTTCGATATTAGATAATTGATAAATAATTGATCCAATATATTTATAGACACTATAACTATAGTATATAGGGGGGAAAGGGATTGTTAGTAATGGAGACTGAGAATCCCATTGCTAGCAATATACCCAACCAAGTCGACCTCCTCGAGGTTCTCCCTGGAGACTATCATGGTTAATTCCTGATGAATTCATCATGATGGGTTAACTGGCTTGTTTTCATTCTCATCTATCGCCCTACACTGGTGCTCCGCCAGCGTATCCCGTTAGCGCAGGCGGGGTTACCATTTTCACCCATCAAAAAAAGAACTATAGTATATAAATATTGCTATATATTAATTATTTACATATAAATTATGTTTCAGCTAAGCAGTTCAAACCCGCCAAACATTAATTGCGTAGACGCACAGGGCAATACGTGCCTCCACTGCGCGGCGTACAGAGGCCACGCGCGGCTCGCCGTTCTCTTACTACAGAATGGAGTCGATACCACGTTAAGAAATAACAGTGGTCAGTGTAGAATTTAAGTTATATGCGAAATTTAGAACTTTGCATTGTCACCGTGTGGTCCTAGCATAGAATAAGCTACCCCTTCCTTTTCCATGGGTGTTGTAAGAAGCTAAGGGAACTTAATAGTTGAGCGATGGGCAACAACATCTTTCTTAAAACAGTACCGAAAGCCTAACTGCTGTCGCAACCCGCCTGCCAAGTATGGCAACTGGCAAAACCCTCCTTATGGTTGGCTGATATGAAGATGATTGTTTTTGGATATGCTGCTTGATTACTTGTACTTTATCTTGACTTTGTACAAAAGTCGATTGCGTGGGTACCTCTGTCCCATTCGTGTTTCTACCGTGAAGCAGTTGTGTTTGCATGGCTGTGTTTCGGTTTGAAGGGTGGGATATGGCGTAAATTTACAGGGTACAGAGGAATAACACCTGAGTCCTCAGGAATGGCAACGCATGGGGTGTATCATGGGCGAAACAGTATACTCTGTTATGTCCATGGTACTGCTCATGTCTATAGGCGACAGTTACCACTTTCCATCAGGTGGGCCGTCAGCTTGTTTGCCATTCTAAGTGGTATAAAAAAAAAGTCTTGGCTTTTTTTTGCACTACTGCCTAAAAATAGGGTGGGAAGTTCTCAAGGTTCACATATGTATGTGAGTTTTTTTTATTTCACCATAACTTGTAAATGCTTGAACAGATTTAGGTATATCCTGCGGTATCATTAAAATCCTTACGTCATAACCTCAAATGTCATTGGCTATAATGTTTTAAAATAGTTCGTATTTGGCTGGGCAGCCTTGTTTTTTTAATTTGCATTTAATATAAAATGAAATGAAATTTATTTGCCAAAAACGTTGTAGATAAGATGTTGCATTTGTCAAGTTTACAAGGTGTTCATTATGTATGCAAATATTAATTAATGAATTTACATATATTTATTTAATTTTGACTACTTATTACGTTATATAATTTTAACAATACACAAAAGTCACTACTTGTACTACTACACCAAGTGCATACTTAAGTGTGTCATCTATTTAATTGTTATACATCCATCTAGATTTTACCCTACATAATGTCGTATTTTAAAAGAGCTGTATGTATTTGTGGACATTCAATGAACTATTGTTATCTGTGGTAAGGTCAACTGGCCATAGAGCTGGCCAAAGACAACGATATGCGGGAAGTGTTGAGCGTGAGGCCGGTGCAGCGGTTGAAGAGAACGGCGGCCAGGTTCGAGGGGCCGCTGCTGAAGAGATCCCGGTTCCTGGGCTGGAGACCAGTGTGGGTGAGAATAACAAATATAACGATGGCCTTCTCAGACTGACCCCAAAATAATTGAGTACTGATATTTACATTAATTATTTTTTAAGAAAAATCCTTAGGTATAAATCTTAGCTTATAGTAAAAAACAACATCTCCGAATTCATTGCCAATAGCTGTGGTGAGTCATATTGTTTTGTAATTAATTAATTGTTATAACCTATCTCTTCCACCCTGTATATGTGTCCGACTAGTTTTGGCCTCGGTATCAATTCTTGTTCATGAACACGGCATCCAGTTGTGTTGCGAACATGGAAGTTGGGGGGAAATGGATTGTTAATAATGCGGTCAAATTTTTTTATTACTAGCAATCAGGTCGACCTCCACTCGGTTCCTCCTGGAAACTATCGTGGTTAATTCTAGTGGAATTCGTCACGATGGGCAAACAGGTACGTTCGTTTCTTCAGGGTCGGCAACGCGCGCGTAATACCTCTGGTATTGCAGGCGTTCATAGGCTACGGTAACCGCTTACCATCAGGTGGGCCGTATGCATGTTTGCCACGTCAATGGTATAAAAAAATAAAATAAAAAAATGAACAGAGTACCATGGACATAACAGAGTATACTGTTTCTCCAATGATACTCTCCATGCGTTACCATTCCTGAAGACTCAGGTGTTATTTCTCTGTACCTTGTAAATTCACTGCCACATCCCACCCTTCAAACCGAAACACAGCCATGTAAACACAACTGCTTCACGGTAGAAACACGAATGAGACAGAGGCGTCTAAGCAAACGACTTTTATACAAAGTCTCCCTCTGGTAACTTTACTGAGTCTCACATAACATAAGGTCGTATTCCATCCAAATTAATAATTGACACTTTGTGTTTCGGAGTGCACACAAAGCCGACGTCTGAAAATAAAGACAAAGCGTCATAGTCGCAGAATACTGACGGATCTGACAAATATTACCTATATAGATCTGTCAGTATTCTACGGCTATGACGAGAGGCTCTCATGTTGATAAGAGTGGTCGAGGAAGTTTCGTAAAGACGGCGTGGTGGTGGCAGGCGGTGCTGCAGCGCGGCGTGCTGCTGTACTACGGGTCGCGCGCGGAGGCGGCGCGGGCGCAGGGCGGCTGGCGCGCGCGCTGCTACCTGGACGGCGCCGCGCTGGCCGCGCCCGCCGCGCCCGCCGCCGACCGCGCGCTGCTGCTGCTGCGGCTCAGCGACGGCGACAGCCACCGCCTCGCCGTGCCGCCCGCCGAGCGCGACGTCGCCGCCTGCAGGCAGGTGCGCGCCCATCCACTTACCACCCTCACGTACCGGCGATTTTCAGTCGCCGATCATCCGCAACGGAACGCCGTTACATAAAATTGCATACGATTCGCTCCCAACGGTCATTCTGCCTGGAGTCCGTTCATTACTCGTGCCCAGCGTCGATTTTCAGTCGCCGATCATCCGCAACGGAATGCTGTTACATAAAATTGCATACGATTTACTCCCAACGGTCATTCTGCCTGGAGTCCGTTCATTACTCGTGCCCAGCGTCGATTTTCAGTCGCCGATCATCCGCAACGGAATGCTGTTACATAAAATTGCATTCGATTTGCCCCTGACGGTCGTCCTGCTTGTAATATCGATTATTACTCGTGCTCAGCGTCCGTTCGATCGTTTGCATGATGGTTTACAATCGATAATAGATCGGCAATGCTATATTTTTGAGTGCGACGCACTACCCACTGACGAATAGTGCGCATTGATTGATTACATTACTGTTATGTGACTATATTCAGCTTAACTTAATCTACCGTTCTTCTAATACCAATGTAAGTAATGCGTGGCGCATGACAAAAAACATTAAAAACGATATTGCCAATCTTTCGTCAACTGGATAGCGGCGAGTTGATAGCCGAACAAACGTCAGTGAGAACTTGTGTGTCAAAGTAGCAAATTTCATACAACTTGACACACATTTCATCATAAATGATCGGTGAGCGAAGATCAGCAACAATTTTTATAGAACGAAATGTGCATAGAACGAAAAACAGGCCATAGTAACCACTATATAAGTATGTTAGTTTGTTATCTTTACGGTATAAAAATTGTACGGTCCAAAATTTTTATCCATACACAATCAACTTACTACAAATGTAAAAGTGTTTATATCCCATCTTATTTAAAGGTTGTTTATTTGCAAAATATTTTTTCAGTCATGGATAACTGCATTTAACGAGCACATAGCGTACTCAGGACACTACCTGTGGGCGGGGGCGTCGCCCGATGCCGCTAGGGAGGCCACAGAGGACTTGGAAGATGAATGCAAGCCTTTAGGTATTTATCCTAGAGCAAACCTCATTCTTTAAAACATTGCTTGATGTAATAAAAAATATATGTACTCAAAGTTGTAATAGAAATATGTAGGAGATATGCTCATTGCTACGTTTAGATAAATTTGATTTCTCAACATTGCACTGGTATCCTTCACCGGAAAGTTTTTTTTTAAATGAATGCTGATAGTATAGTGACCCAGTCTCCACTATCAAAAATTTATTATGTGTCACTTGTACGCCAATTCTTTGGTGTCAGTCAAATTTGAACTTACAACATCTAGGCTGTATAGCACTAATTTCTTGACTAAAAAAGTAAAACAAAAAAAAATTGTAGGCTCGATGCAAGACGCCCTAACAACGGCCACCAACAGCCTGGCGTTACTGGACACGCAGCTGCGCGAGTGTTCGGCCATCGTCGCTGCGCTCGACAAGAGCGTCAACGTCGGAAACTCGCTGCACCACTCTGCTTACATGGTGTGTATTCTATATTAATTATTGTTGAAGGGGGGGGGGGATGCCAATAGTCGTCACGCTTTATAGGTGGGGTAGATTTTGGTGATGTTTTGAGAGAGATACTGCCCCCATACCTTGACCCTTAAGTTCTCTTAATTACCTCTGACAATATCCATGGGAAAGGAAAAGGTGGCCGCCCATAGATATGCATATGACCATAGTTAACATACTCAGAATTTAGCGGTAGCGTAAAGGTTTCCGGTCCATATAGTTAATAATAATAATAGTAATATTTTTTAACATATTGCTGAGCGCCATCTTGTGTGTACTAAGTAGAGTATTTCAAGTACATTGTATTTTTGTATTTTGTTGAAATTTTAAGAGAATATTGTGTGTGCAGCGCTTCCAGCACGCGTGCGGCACGGGCGCTGAAGCGCTGGCAGCGCTGCGGCACTGCGCTGCGCTCGTGGCGCAGGCGCGGGACGCGGACACCGCGCGCCTCAACAGGGAGGTGTGTACGCTTACACATATATACACATTTGCATGGCTATTTTTCGGTTTGAAGGATGGGATATGGCAGTTAATTTACAGGGTACAGAGGAATAACACCAGATTCCTCAGTAATGATAACGCATGGGGGGTATCGTGGGCGAAACAGTATATAGTATACAGTGGTACTGCTCATGTATATAGGCGACGGTTACCACTTTCGATCAGGTGGGCCGTCAGCTTGTTTGCAATTCTAAGTTGAATAAAAAAAAATTAGGTATTCAGCTAAATAAAAGTTTCATCATTATCTATTCAGCCATTGTTTGTATACCAGACAATGGCCTCGCCCATAGACTGCCATAAGGAACGGTCCTGAGCCACTTGCATACACGACTCTCTGTAATGCATTTGAGATCGCACTCCATCTAGTGGGGATCGTCCTACACTGTGTTTGCCCGTACGGTGTTACCACTAAATAACCTTTCTTCTCCATTAGTTGTCGGTTCTTCGAGCTACGTGACTAGCCCATTACCACCTCAGCTTGCTTATCTTTTGCGGATATCCTCGTTTCGGATTCTATCACGCAAACAAACTTCGAGCATAGATATTCAAGCTCACCATAACCCGCTGAATAATTTGAAGCTTTACGGGCATACGGGCAATTGTGTAAGACCATGTTTCAGTTCTATAAGGTATCACTGGCAACACGCACTGCTTTAAAACCTTCGTCTTTAAACTTTGAGGTATTTTGGATGACAAGATGAAAATAAAAGCTTATAATAAAATAAGTCGGATGGCATGAAATCTGTGACAAACTAGGCTTTGGCCGCCTTACGACTATAGGTTGTTAAATCGGGCCAATATGTGTATTAATTTAGTTGAACTGTTAAGCCCCTAAACACTGTCACTAAATATAATGACATTGTTCTAGATTGAACGTAACCGCGTTTTGGAAGAAGCTCTAGCGGCCCTCGCCCGCACGCACCATGCCCTAGAAATGTCTGTCGCTGAAGAACTCACTAAGGTCTGGATTGTACACTTTGTACTTGTTTTAATATTTCTCTTTACAATATGTGGCTACTTTCATCATATATGTGGTCGACGAATTATATAATCCTCATCCACTGATATCTTTCAGCCGTTGTATCTGGGCCCATACCTCTTTTAAGCATATCCTTCACACAATCTCTGCATTTTCATTTTGTGTACATCATGCGTATTCTTTAATATACTTCCATATTGCTACTATATAAACATATATTTTGTCATAATTAAAGTTATTGTTTTTTGTAGAAATATTATGTCTAAGTGTACAATGGCGTAACAATAGGGCGGCAGGGCTGGCAAAATACCACGGGCCCCCGACCCAAAAGGGCACCGGCTTAAGAGGCCGCGAGCTCAAAATTTTTTATTTTGTTTTTTTTTTTTACATTGCACCTTAGTATTTTATTTTACTTGAAAAGTATTTTTTTTTGAGTGATAGGGTCCCATTAAAAAAAAAACTTTGCCACAGGCCCCAAATGGTATAATTATGCCACTGTAGTGTATTATACTTGTCAGCTGGCAAAACATACATTTTCAGAAAAAAAGTATATCTTACTTAGTAGGGCTTACTTTTATCGTTTTAGTTTATGTGTTTACATAGAACTGTAAAATTAACATTTTTCTTACAGAGTAAAAGAAAGAAAAAATCGACATCCTCTCAAAACGATTCCAAAGAAAACTTCTTTGATGTGTTTAGCGGTAAATATTGTATTATTATTTATTTTCACCAGAGGGAGACTCTGTACAAAAATCGATTGCTTGGGTACCTCTGTTCCATTCGTTTTTCAACCGTGAAGCAGCTGTGTTTGCATGGCTGTGTTTCGGTTTGAAGGGTGGGATATGGCGTGAATTTACTGGGTACAGAGGAATAACACCCGAGTCCTCAGGAATCACAACGCATGGGGGGGTATCATGGGCGAAACAGTATACTCTGTTATGTCCATGGTACTGCTCATGTCTCTAGGCGACGGTTACCACTTTCCATCAGGTGGGCCGTCAGCTTGTTTACCATTCTAAGTTGTATAAAAAAAATATATATATTATATATAGTATTATTTGTAGTCATAAAGTAAGGAATTCGAATATTGAGTATTTATCGAGCGTGAATAAATGGAGATGTCGGTAGGGGCCGCTCTAGACGGACATATGTCGACCAAATAGGCGACGTGCTGAAGAAGGGCCAAATTAAAAGTACCCGTAACCGGCGAGCGTGTATGAAAAGATTGATGAATGTGGAAGAAGTGAAAGAGGTTTGTTTGAATCGAAGCATTTGGCGTTCCGTTGTTTCTGCCTACCCTAATGGGAGACAGGCGTGACAGATATGTATGTATGTATATATGTATGTATGAATTGAAGTAAAATTATGAAGAAAATGATATATCCTATATTTTCCATTTTTTTTTTATTGAAACAAAATAACAATGTACAATATTATGTAATATTTATTTTATTATTGTGTTAATTTGTAATCTGTTGCCTTGCTATAAATAAATAAATAAATTAGTAAAAATGAAGTAGTAATTGTATTGCGTTTTTTCGAATCTATTTTCGTATATGGTCATGACTGATGGTGACGGTACAGGGTCCGGCTCGGAGGGCGAGGGTGACGGTGATGGCGGCGAGGAGGATGAAGACGATACTCTGGTGACGGCGGGGCTGTCGAGTCCGCTGGGCGCGCTCAGTCCGTGGGGCAGCAGCCCCGACCTCGCTCGCCTTACGCCCATTGGTAGTCTTGATGGTAACAAGCATCACGTAACCAAATAGGACGGCCTTTGTAGACTAGTGGCTTATTGCATTCCTTGGGGGGGGGGGGGGACGACATTGCTTACTAGCAATTGACAGAGATTAACAATTCCATTGCTAGCAATACAGCCTTTCAGGTCGACCTCCACGCGGTTTCGTCTGGAAACCATTGTGATTGATTTACTGTTGAATTCGTCACGATGGGCCAATTGGCCTGCTTCATCATCCATCATCCCTCACTGGTGCCCCGCCAGGGTATACCGTTAACGTACGTTTTTTTAATGGAATGGCCCTTGCTAACAGGAATATTGCTAGCAATGGGGCTATTAACCTCAATTCCTAATAATCCCTTCTCCCCTTACATTTGTTGGGTCGGCCAGTTCTAATTCATAATAGAATTACGTCCTGCAGGAGATAAAACACCGACCAATGAGGAGGAGGAATTCTGTCGTCGAAGGTCAGGGTCCTCGGAGTCCCTCCAGTCCCTGCACACCGCCATCAGCCCGGCCAGCTCCCGCGGGACCCTGGTCTCGCAAGGTGGTCACGTGTACAGAAACGCCAGGCCCTACAGGAAGACTACGAAACTAAGGTGAGCTTAGATTTTTACTGATTTTCGATACTTGGAATTGTTTTCGGTTTTAGACATCAAGCGACGATGACGCTGTCATTTGTTATTTTTGTCAAGAAAAAAACCGTATAATATATTAAAATATATATATATATATATATATATATATATATATATATATATATATATATATATATATATATATATATATATATATATATATATATATATATATATATATATATATATATATATATAACCTATAAAAAAATCTGGAAATTTAACAAAATAATCAAAAAAATTCTATATAAAGTCTCAAATCTAACGTCATCTTGTATTTCGTGTCCAATTTGTTTTAGTGACCAGAGGGAGACTCGCACAAAAGTCGTTTGCTTGGGTACCTCTGTCCCATTCGTGTTTCAACTGTGAAGCAGTTGTGTTTGCATGGCTGTGTTTCGGTTTGAAGGATGGGATATGGCGTGAATTTACAGGGTACAGAGGAATAACACCTGAGTCCTCAGGAATGGCAACGCATGGGAAGGACCATGGGCGAAACAGTATACTCTGTTATGTCCATGGTGCTGTTCATGTCTATAGGCGACGGTTATCACTTTCCATCAGGTGGGCCGTCAGCTTGTTTGCCATTCTAAGTTGTATAAAAAAAAAGATCGATAATCTTAAAAGGCATACAACACATTACCTAGAAAATTTCATGACATCTCGATTGATAGCGGCAAGGAAACCGTTGACTAATTTATTGTAAAATGTATTATATCGCGTACTACGTTAAGTCTAATTTGAAATAACAAATTGTTCGCCGTATCCCTTTAACGGTCGCCAATTGTTATCTCCAGTAAAATCTTATGCACGTACGTTGTTATTGATTCATACATATATATATATATTCAGAGTGTGTTGTGGACAGTTTTGGTCATGTTTGTTTTATTAATGTGAGGCCTCGGTAATAAAGAATTTATGTCTGGCGCCAATACGATATCTGTATGATCAAATATATTTTTTAATGTATTTTTTTAATGCTGGTACTCTGTCTATGTGATTTTTTTTTATTTTTATTTAAAGCGCTAAAGAATTATACGTAATGCTTGTTTATAGTACACTAGAGTTTTACATAATTCTTTATTAAAAAATATAGGCTTATATAGGATGATCCAATATATGCGAAACTAGACTTTGTATTTCTTTGAACTCTCCAGCGATGATAAATACAGTTAACAAACCATGTTGCATTAGATTTATCATTTCAGCCGTTAACTGTACATTGCTAAACATAAACCTTCTCCATAAGGGGGGTTGCCACACTTGGCAGGTGGATTGGCAATCGCAATTAGGATTTTAGAGCTGTTTTAAGCGAGACGCTGCTGCCCCATCCCTCTACCATTAAATCCCTTAATTGCCTCTTACGACACCCACAAGAATGGAAGTGGTGGCCTATTCTATGCCGGGACCACACGGACGGATTGTATTAAATTAAAATTGTTTAATTTTATTTTCCACTTTTATTTTAATTTAGTTTAATAATTTATTACTTTTATTTTTGTTTCAGTTCGGACTGGTCAGATGATAGCGCATATAGTTATTAGTTATATGCACAAAAGCCTATATATTGTACTTAGATATCTCGCGGTTACGTACACATGTTTATTTTACACACACAAGTACATGTATAATGTCTATTGATAGTATTTATAAATTGTATTGATCGATATGTCGATAGATACGATTTCGTTATCACACAAAATAAAAAAGTACAAGAAGCTGAATGTGCTGTCTCGTTCTATCTTATTTGGCAACGAGAAAGTGTCTCTAGATAGATTTGTACACTAATTGTCTATGTTGTCAGTTCGTGAATACGATCATAATATTTTGAGATCTCTAAATAATATATATATATATATATATATATATATATATATATATATATATCATAGATTAAAATATTTTATTTTTAATATATGCAATTATTGATGTGACTAGCATTCCTTGATAATAGTACAATAAATTGCATTTCTAAAGTACAGCATTTGAAGCTTATTAATTTTATAATGACAATGCATAATATTACTTTTTTTTTTGTAACTTACCTGATTTTTTATAAGTTACAAATATATATATATATATATATATATATATATATATATATATATATAGGGTTAGAAATTAAAATAATTATCATTTTTTTTAAGAAAGTTATTTCCCAATAAAACTGAATACTTGTCTTCAAGAAACGGATAGAAAAATAATAAAAAAAAATTGAATTATCCATCTATATATAAAAAAAAATTGTTTTTTTTTTTATACTACTTATAAGCCTTTAAACATCTATAATAAGAACAGTACCATGGACTCTGTCCCATTCGTGTTTCAACCGTGAAGCAGTTGTGTTTGCATGGCTGTGTTTCGGTTTGAAATAAATTCACCATATCCCACCCATATGGTGAATTTACTGGGTACAGAGGAATAACATCTGAGTCCTCAGGAATGGCAACGCACGGGGGGTATCATGGGCGAAACAGTATACTCTGTTATGTCCATGGTACTGCTCATGTCTATAGGCGACGGTTACCACTTTCCATCAGATGGGCTGTCAGCTTGTTTGCCATTCTAAGTTGTATAAAAAAAATATATAGCGCTGATATTTCATACCGTTAGGTGATTCATATAATTATTATATCGGCTTTTTAATGTCCACTGCTGGATATAAGCCTCCTTCTGGGGGTTTTAGTTGCCACGCTTGGCAGGCAAATTGGCAACCGCAGTTAGACTTCAGAGATTTTCTAAGAGGGACGCTGCTGCCCATCCCTCGCCCTCCCTTAGTCGCCTCTTACGACACCCACGAGAAAGGAAGGGGTGGCCTATTCTATTTTGGGACCACACGTCCAAGGTTAGGTGGTTAGGGTGGGCCCTATACCTAACCCATAAACATTTGTGGAGTCAGCTGATACTAATATATAATAAGACGGTATGTCTGTTTAACTGTCTACATTTTTTGTAATTTTTCTATTAGTTTTTTTTTTTTGTAAAAAATATGCAGTTTTTTTTTATTGTTATTATATCGGTATTAAGTGTGATGACAATTTATACCAAATAATGTCCAAAAAATTCAAATTATTATTAAATTTTATTATGTACGTGATTCTAATTGTATTATTTTTTTAATTATTTGACAAAAAAGTGATCTGAAGTAAGGATGAGTAACATATAATCTATATATTGTATTTACAATATCAATAAATATATTGGCCCAATAACAGATGTATATTTTTTTTTGATGGGTGAAAATGGTATGGTAACCCCGCCTGCGCTAACGGTATACGCTGGCGGAGTACCAGTGAAGAGTGATAGATGAGAATGAAATGAGGCCAGTTAGCCCATCATGATGAATTCATCAGGAATTAACCTTGATAGTTTCCAGGGGGAACCGCGAGGAGGTCGACCTGGTTGGGTATTATGCTAGCAATGGGATTCTCAGTCTCCATTACTAACAATCCCTTTCCCCCCATAACAGATATATTAACTATCAGTTATCCAATATATAATATCGAAAAGAAAAACCCGCTTATAATAAATATATCATAGATATTCGATACATATGGGCGATATCGCAATGGGTGATCATCGATATCCAGAAGAACTCGATATATAGATATTGGATATTACTCATCTCTAATCTGAAGGCGAATGTACAATATATGTGATAGACTTTATTTATTATAAGATGATTTTTTTATTATAATAATTTTAGTTTGTGTATTAAAATATATTTTTTTTTTTATTACAATTTTGTTTTTTTTCATTCCTTTTTTTTTTAAAGATTATTTTCTTCCTGCTAATTTAAGGTTTAGGTATAAGATAATCGAAGTCTAAAGTGTAATTCTACCATAATTTTACCAGAAGAAGACTTTGTGCAAAAGTCGTTTGCTTGGGTACTTCTGTCCCATTCGTGTTTCTACCGTGAAGCAGTTGTTTGCATGGTTGTGAAGGGTGGGATATGGCAGGGAATTTACAGGGTACAGAGCAATAACAGCTGAGTCCTCAGGAATGGCACGGCATGGGAGGTATCATAGGCGAAACAGTAAACTCTGTAATGTCCATGGTACTGCTCATGTCTATATGTTATAGTATATAAATATGCGATAGTTTCCACTTTCCATCAGGTGGGCCGTCAGCTTGTTCGCCATTCTATATTGCATAAAAACTCATATTTTCATGATTCCTGTTTGGCTGTCTATTCGTATTTCATAATGACTTGCAAGTTCTTTCATCATTTTTCATTACATATTGACAAGTAACTATACGAAAAATATATTAGAATTATTTGCTTATCATGCAAAAACATAAAGTTAAAAAGCTGGTTATCACTGAAGCGAGGTCGATTGAATATTGGCATCTAAATTCGATGACTTCTGTTATACTGGTATAGGATAGAGTGGTAAATATATAAAATAACCCACGGGTAAATGGCGGATATCGTGCGTGTGAAGCCGCGGGAAATAACTAGTTTATACAATATGAAGGACAATATTGACTTAACAGAAACCCTCGAGGCGAGAGAGTTTCTATAATGTACCTAACAAAATATTTATTCTCCCTAAATTCTTAGAACAAATGTTTTATTTAGCTGAAATCAGAGAACAAACAGAAAAATGCCTACTTCTTTTTTTTTTGCTTATCTTTTATTATTTTTTTGCTAAATTATAATTAAAAATACTGATAATACATAACTGTTATGTAGTATGTAGTATGAATTTATTTAAATTTGGCTGTGACGTGGTTGGGGACCTTGAGTAAGTCATGCTCACTAAAATGCCCAGACAGGTGGTGGTGTGGTGGGCTGGGTTATTGAGTTTCCTAAAATATTGTCGGACGCAACAATGGCTGACTCGTGAACGGGTGCTGCCTGTGGGATCTGGTCTGGTCTGGTCACTTCATCCGATTTATTTTATTGATTTATTTTAATTATATACTATATATTTTAAATTTATAATTAAACTTTTTTGAAA